GAAGTAATAAAAATCTTTATACGATTTTTCGTTGAATTGGCCTAAGTTATTGAAATTTCGCAGAACTCGCTAGTATATTATTTTGTAATAAATAATTCACTAAGAATATGGGGACTAGATTAATCGTTATTGGTCCGAACAGTAACGGATTTTTTTTATCTGAATACGTAAGTAAACATCCAGCATAAAGGTTATCGTTAAAATTGGAAGGACACAAATATTATACATGTACACTTGTGTATGTAATTCGTTTTGCATTTATCAATGTGAAGGTGAAAGGTTTTCTTTTAAGAACACAGTGGCTTATCTTTTGAAAAAATAAATAAAAACATAACAAACAGAATAAAATTCGTCTGAATATATTAATCAAACATATTGAACCGGATGTGTAGAACTGATAAAAAAGTCAATGCCCGATCACCCGAAATAATTATAATACTAACATAATTATTAGTTCTTTATCGAAAAACAAAGCACAATGTTTACAGCTATGTGTATATGATTATTATGTGTTACACATTACTATCGTACAGTAAAAGTTATACAACAGGTTTAATTAAATATTGCACTATTACTAAACACCAATATAAATTATTTAAATTTAATTGAAGTTTCATATTATTTTAATTTAATCAATACCTAATCATACGATTAATGATGAACTATATCAAAATATTAAATTTATTTTATCAAATTAATTAGGTAAATATGTTATAATAAAAATATAAAATACATTCTCGATTGATGCTTTATTAGTACATTAACAGTAAATAATCACCATACAAAGTAATATTCTTATATGTAGGGTTTTTATGTTGAATTTAACTAAGAAAGAGCTACCGTATTATAAATGTTTAAACACATGTACTAAAGCGAAAGATTTAATAACATACTATAGAAATACGCATTTCAATGTACTACAAAATGTGGAATTTCTTTTTCTGAATTTATAGTTATCATCAAACTAAAATTTTGTTGGGGGTTTCAAGTACATACAAATACTCCCAAATATGTTAAGTGTTTATAATAATATCTACTTGATATAAGAGCTTTCCTATTAATATAATTAAAATCAAATAACAGACAAGACTTAAATGTTGTATGCTAGGTTAATCCTACTTCCACTACTTAAGTTTTGTAAAAATTATAATTGTGAAACTGAACAAAAATATTTAAAGAAACTGGTTTCTAGCATGTATGGACAGTATTTTCTTCAAAACGACATGCCTATATTTTTTAGTATGCATCTGTTTCGATGTTACAAGCAGTGGCGTACTTAGACCTGCATTTATAGTTGTGGGGTGGGGTGGTCTAGGAATAGTGTGACCTTAGCTGACCAAAAAAAAAGAAGTAATTTCAGAAAATATCCTCTTATTTGAAAATGTTGAGAATAAATATATCTCCGATATAGTATGTAATACTATGTATTAGGTAATGCACGTTACAAACGTTCCTATTTAGCATAGCATGTTTACGTTGTGCTGAACCAATTTTGTATCAACCTTATAATATTAGAGTAATTTAATCTATTATATAGAATTTAATATTTTTATTATGTAGTGTAAGATAAAAAAATTGAAAATAATATCTCAATAATAGTTGTTTGGTTTCACTAATGAAATTCAACATAATTTTAGATGTATTTTGTACCTATATGTTGGTATGCATATATTGAATATATAAATAATCTCGAAGGAGATGTTGTTCATCGATATAAACCATAACCACTGAAACATTTTCATTTTATTGATACTAGATTAAACTTTCTTAAAATTTAAATATTCAATAAAGAAAAAAAAGTATAATAAAAAGAAACAGGTAGCATTAATTCGGTCAAAGACATTTTTAGGGAATTTCTATATTTTTGAGCATTCATTATTTTTATTGTTTTCAATGCATATTAATTATTGTCCCTACATATCAGTTGTATATTTTTAATAAACACTTACCAAGCTAAGATTTTCAGTATATCCTGAGTGCGTCCAGGTTATAACTTATAGTTTTTTCATAACCTGAGTCCGCCTGTGCGTCCGCTATCTTATCGACAAACTTTATATAGCAGTGCCCGAGAGCATCCACAGTAGTATTAACAAATTATATTGATTCCCTAGTCAAAGTGAGTCTTTGGTTCACAGCTATACGTAGTATGTACCTATTTAAGACAAACTAATCGTTTCAAAACTTTTAAGATACAGATCATACGATCGTATATGATTGTTTAAATGTACAACTATAGTACTTTATGGATAACTACGTAATGTTTAATTCATTTTTAAAACATAACTATTTACCAAAACTATGACTGTGGCAACGGTGAGGAAACTGCATTTTATTTTAACTTCGATAATAACTGAGCACGACTAAAACGTACTCATTAACGGCCAATAAGTGCTAGTGAACTGTTTACGTATTAATATTAAAAATATAATGGCGTTTAATACAACAATTATAGTGTCCCCACAGTACTCATTCGATGGGTCAGAAAATATATTACTATTTTTTCCTGAAGCTCACTAGGACTATGTTAAAACTATGACCTTTTTTTGGGACTCACTGGGGTACCTTATTCCGACCGCACCTGGAATAAAAAATAATGGCTGTTTCGGGACGCACTCAGACTTCTGGACGCTACCAAGATATTTAAAATATTGTTATATTTCAAACTTTTTTTATTTTTACATCTTTATCAATATGATTATTATTTTAAAATATATATAGCAATCTATTATATTTGGTTACTATGTTTTAACTTTTTTTTTTATGGCATCTATACAGAAAAACGAAAAAAAGTATTTTTGTATAGGTTTAAAAATTGGGTTTGGTATAAATTATTGCGCAGTAAAAATCTTATTAGTGAGTAGTGACTGAATAAAATAAATAAAATAATTTATTTATATTAGACGATGTCGTCTTTATAATTGTTTTCTTTGTTCTCTGTCTTCAAATAAACACTGAAAACTGAATAACATTTCTGATGAATAAATATACTTTAAAATTCAAACTCATAGATTCTCTAAACAAATTGTTAACACAATTGTGCTTACACAGTGTCACATGCACTTAATTTGTTACACACGGACATAATAGTTGCTTATTTAACATGCTTGTTTGTTTAATATTTAAACATTTTGATACAGACTCAAACACAAATATGAACTATATTTTCTGATAAAATATGTACGCCATAAATGAGTAATATCCAAATTGTAGCTATAGTATTAAATTCCTTATAATTGGTGTACAGTTGATGTCGCCACAATATTATTTCCACCTAATGATCCATTGATGATATATGTGCAACAATATTTAATATATAAACTGCAAAAAATATTTTGAATCCCGATTGCTTGCATATTTTTCATAAAATTAATACGATATTTTAAAATGCCAACTAACTACGTTTGTATTATATTTTTTCAAGGAAGATGATAATCATGTCATTTGAGTTATTGTTCTCAGACAACGAGTTTTCATCTTAAACTTTTAACGAGTAATATCAGAATAAATCTTCTATAATAGAGACACAAAATACTACATCAAAAATGGTTATTGTAGTTCGTGAGCTTATAAAAACAATATTTGTTTAATCACTACATGATTTTTAAGCAATAGTGATAAAGGTTCTATCATTATAAGTATAAAAAATAATTACCTTTGAATTAAAAGTTATAAGACTCTTCTATTATATTAGAGTAATAAATATTATATTCTATGATAAACATGTTAGTTAGAATTATAAAAACAAAATAATATGTTTATATTCTGTTTCGCACGTTTAACGCCTATGAATATGTATTAGTTTTTTTTAATGAGAGGGCGTTGCACTATAATATTATAGTTGTTTCTATCTGTAAGCACACGTGCCTCGTCCACACACCAAAATCAGGTTTTTGTGTTTCGATTATTATAGGTCATCACTTGATTTTTAGATACCTCTAATAATACATAATACAAAAATCAACAAGAAAATAATATTTTTTGAAATCGATATGTTGTACGATTTTTTTTAATTACTACGTGGTATGCGTATAACCCATTATAAAACAATAAAAATTGAACATAATACCATCGAAAAAACTCACACGCCCTACGAATGTCTCCAAACAAAATGACTCATTAGTTATCATTAGAATTATTCCCAATGACAACACTAAATTGACAAAAGTCTGACTGATAAAATAAATCCTACAGCCAAAAATAATTTAAAAAACATGTCTTAAATTTCACTTACCTATTTCACATTTCACATATGTAATTTTTTCTCACAAGTACAACCGATTAACATATTATTAGGCACATGATATGACATAAAATTATATGCCACAACTGCAGACTTGTTACAATAATATGTACATTGTTCATAAAATAATAAATATGCTTGTTTATTGGAAATGTTAAATCATTAACAATATTCCCCGTTCAAGGGTTTATGGATCTTATTTCAATACAAAAGTGTGTTTTCGTCCTTTGTGTAATATTTTATTATTTTTTCACCCATCACAAATAATATTATTAATGTATAGTTATTCGTTAACGTAGACGTCTATCGTACTGCGGTACTGCGTATTAATAATATTGTACATGACTGCAATACGTAAATCTGTTACATAATAATACCACTGGTACGATGCTACTATAGGTATATGCTACTATAGGTATATGCTACTATATAGGTGTATAATATAGTAATACATTTCGTATAATACGCGACGCCAGTGTGGCGTCACTCTCATCACCTGATCGGATGCGGTTACAATTATAGTGGTCACATCCTCTCACCCCCTCCACCCCATCCGCAAACAACACAACATCGGTACCTACTCACAACGTTGTTAGGCCGGTCGGTGTGTAGTGAAAAAAATGTTGTGTGCATCACCTGGTGGGGCGTTTTATATACACACAATAATAATACATTGTAGCTTATAAAACTAAAATATTATTATATATATATATATATATTGAATGCGGTAGAGGCTTATAATGGTATATTATTTTGTTAGATGTTCGGAACGTTTCGGCGGTTCCCTTCCCCCCTCGACCGCAGTCTGCGTTACCCCGACCACCACCCCACACTGGTCCGCTCCACCCCACCCCACACGACTGGCCATGCGCAGGACCACTGCACCCCGGCGGAGAAACTCGCACGCACACGCATACGCACTTACGCACTACCGCACTCCCGCACGCACACTACGCATTCGAGAGATTAGCCAAATAACTCGACGGAGATCCACACCGGCTCCTCGGCGTCCGCGACGCGCTTATATAACCGTGTCGGCTGGCCCGTCCCTTGCAGTGTGCATTGAGACCTTCAAGTGGTGAGGTGTGCCCCGGCGAGACAGAGTCGACTCAGCGTCCATAATATTGGAATACTATTGTAACGGATTCGTCTACGGAGCACCAGTTGCCGTCCACCCGTCAGCCCAGCGTTGCAGTTGCATTACCACTTGGTGGAGAGCGTCCGACTGCTACACCGTGTTTTCGCCGCCGACAACCTGTTCTGCGACCACGTGCCGTCCATTATACATTGTTGTACCTGCGCCTGCTGCGAGTACCACTGTAAGTATATTATTTTGTAATTTTATTATTAATAATATTTGTTTTGAGTCATTATTATTATTATTATTATTATTGTGTAAAATGCGTATACACCGATCACTTGTTTCGCGCCTTTAAATTTAGAATGAAAATACTCGACATTTCTTTTGTTTTTTCTGGTTATAAAAATGTTGGCACTAACCGTTTATTGGAACCATTCAATTATTGTTATTTATTTTCTACCATTTGAAACACTTGTATGACACTTGAGTGATCGTTTTCCGACGTGCCGGACTGTAATAGTTTTCATCGAATCGTTTAATTATTACTCCACATTATAGTTGTGATTTTTTGTTTCTTTATTTTTTCTATTTTTTTTACGGCAACCTGCATATTTTGTATAAAATCCTAGAGTACAATGTTTCTCCAGGAATTTCAATGCATTTTTATCGAATAACTAACCAATGGCTTATATTTTGATTTGAAGTAAGTGTAGTGGAATGGACGACAGAGGATAACCGATAAAATGTTGGTGCATCGTCAATGTATCTGATCTATCGGTGTTCATAAATAATTTATGTCCTAACCTATACGATATTTTTATTCATCTGCCAGTAATATCAATTCTGAAAGTGTACTATGATTTATGATATATTATGTACAATATATACAAATTATATGACGATGTTTTATTCTAGGACATTTTGGAATATTCTAGGCAAACGTTCAATTGCTGTCAAACGTTCACAATTTCAATCTGAAATTATGCACATAATATTTGTACCTAATTATAATTTTTATTACCTGTGTAATTTAGTCATGAATACCAATAATGATTTTATAATTTCCCTTTGACCAAATTGGTGTTTCTTAAATCGTTCTTATAAACCGAAAACAGAATGGTTTTTTTTATTTTTTATAAATTTACTTAAAATGGCTTTAATGATAGGAAAAACAAAACAGAATTTATATAAAAATATAAGAATAAAGTCTCTGTGCATATAATAGAGACTAAAATGTCATTAGATTCCATAAAATTTACATGAAACGTCCATGGTAATTTCTTAACAAATAATAAACTTTATACTTATAGTTAAAAATGATTCGTTATAATTAAGTATTAATAATTAAAAATATTACCTTCTTAATTCTAAATCAACAAAAAATGAAATTGTAACATACATTAAGGTAAAACGATTTTATTATTTTTGTTGTAATATAGTATACATACAAATTGTTTAACTTATTTACATAATTAAACATAATTTACAACTAAACAAAAATAATGACAAAACCCATAATATTATAATAAATTAATTTTTTGAATACAACATTTAGTCAAACTTTCATAATATATATATTTTCTAATGATTGTTTTATGTGAAAGTAAAACTGTAATACATTGATATTGATATTCATCACATTTAGTTTAATATTACCTATATGGCTATATACGACTATACCTACTTATATACATCTCGGATATGACAATATATTTTTTTCCGGAAACAATCCGATCGTATCCCATTATTATATATATGTTCATAAAAAAAACAAATCCCACAATTATATGATAAATGTGTTCTACATGAATTATTTATGTACTACAGTAAAACCTCGATAAGACGGAATCGCATGGGACCATGACATTTTTCCGTCTTGACGGGGTTTCCGTCTTGACGGGGTTTAAAAAAGTTAATTTAATATAATTAAAGATTACATACATATTTATTTTAAACCAGTTGGTACATATTACATACAATTTATACTTATATTTATTATAATTTTATATTTATACTTATTCATTTATATTTATTCATTTATGTTTATTTATTACATACATATTTATTGTACATTAATATTTTATTTTAATATTTTTTAAAAACGCAGCGACACGAACGTAACGATATATGATTTGATACTGAACCAAGCAACTCAGATAATGTTGTATAGTGTATAGGTACGTATCAATTTTATTAGTTTTTAATGTCATCGTACGCGCTCGTATATCGATAATCTATGGGTTACGACAGTACGAAAATAAATTTATTACACGAAAATCGTGTTATATTTCCGTCTTAGCGAGGGTTTTCATCAACTTTCATTACAAAAACGTGTCCGTTTCCGGCTTGGCGAGGTTTCCGTCTTAGCGGGATAAAATTATATGCAATTTGAAACGGGACCAAAAAAATTTTCCGTAATACCGGGGTTTCCGTCTTACCGAAGTTCCGTTTTAGCGAGGTTTTACTGTATTATGCCTATGTAATATAATATATACATTATTATATAAATAATAATAAAAAAAAATATTATATGTTTATACTATAAATTATAATATTTATTTTGGGTACTTACGCATTATGTCTATACGACTATAAAGCTATTATTATTAAGGTGTGTACTCTAACAGACTGATTACTCAATTTTAATGTATCTCCTGTACATTAGGTACTGGACTTAACAATACCTATTTATTTATGTACCTATTAATTTTCTTTCAACTAGCATTGAACTATTTGAATCGTATTTTAAACGAAATGTAGGTATGCATATCAAACTATAATTATTTTTAATTAAGTACAGTGTGAATTAAAGACAAATCCGGAGGTCTAAAAAAATAAACATCATCATTACAACAATTGTATTTACGATACAACAATTGTTGATATTATAGAGGTATTAGTTATTGAAAATCAATATTGACAAATTAATATGAGTAATTATTTATTGTAATGGGTAAACTGTCTATTACTAACAATGATGGCCCTGGACATCACTCTTTCTATTATCAGTCCATCTATGATTAATCTGTCTATAGTCATTGGTTCACCACACTTTATATTGAATTGTTTAATTTCTCTACAATAAAAGAAAAATGTTACTGGCTTATAGACGCATTTTTGCAGTACTACATCGATGTAATTTCGACATTTTTTTTAACAAATAAAAACACATTTTTTATAATTGGTTCGTTTTCGTTCGGAAAGTTTTTATTCAATGTACCGAATTCGTTTCCAGTAAATAACACAAGCGTATCTTTAAACATATTATAATAATTAAATAGTATCCTTATTCAATTCACTGGTTATTAATATATGTTCAAATAAGACTGTTCGTATTATATTATTTTTAGTGTTCTATATTATTGAAGTAATTAATTTTATTATCGATACTCATAGTTCTTACCCAATTCCACATAATATGTACATTTTTCTTGTAACTACGGAAGTATATAGGAATGTTTGTGTCCAATTTTTTAAATCCATTAAATACATTTTACGATATGCATGGTATTTCACTACAGGATTCGGGTAAACAAAGCGCAATCTTACTAGATAAGTTTTTTCTTGATTTATAGTTGTAGGTACCTATCATCGGCGAAATTATTAAATCGTTTGTAATTATTACTATGCATATCGTGAAATGTGTTAAATGTATTAAAAAAATTGGACACAAACATTCCTATATACCTCCATAGTTAAAAGAATTCACATATTTATACTGTTGATAGATTTTAGAGGAGGTATTCGTTGTTTTTAACTATACTATTTACTATATATGTATAGTATTTATTTAATACTTTATCATATTTGATGTTTTCAGGTTATTTATTTCTAAGCTTAGACGAATTATATATCAAGACCACTGTTCCTTAAATGTTTTTTTTTATTTATCGACTCATTAACAGTAATGTGTCTGGTTCAGTCTTAATGTATTTTCTTCTGGCCATCTTTTGGTCACATTAAGCTATAGCCTATATTAATAAAATGAAAATATTTCATACTGATGTTTTTTTTTTAAGTAGTTTAGTTCTTTGCCAAATACAGAAATTAAGAAATTTAGACAAGTTAAAATAATGCATATTTCCTTTCTGATAAAATTAATATACATATATTATTATTTATAATTCAGACAACTACAATCAATAAATATTTTTTAGAAGATAACATAATAATCGCTTTCGGTTCGACCAACACTACCAGCTGATTTGGCATTATATAAAAAACTTGCAAAATGTGGAATGCAATGATTAATAGGAAAGTAAAAAACAAATCCACTGGCACTATCGATGATGGTGCCACCATAGAAGTGCATGGAGCCGTAAAAAATAAAAATGCGGAAGAGGATAATCATGAAATATCGTAAGAAACTATAATAAAATCGAAATAATCAAATGCATATTTAGATCTTTGTTTTTTTTTTTCGGTTTCCGGCCACTCGCTGCATCTACTACTGCACTTGTTCACTCTTTCCATACAGAAACTGGGAAGCGATGATGCATATGATTAAGTCGACCATCGGTGGAGGGTTCTTAGCCATGCCTGAGGCATTTCGCAATGCTGGCCTGTTGGTGGGGTCCATAGGCACCCTATTCCTTGGAGTCGCTGTCCTTGACATGATGTCGTTCATCGTGAGTATAAACATTTTTATCTATAAAATTTACCTAATTTACTGTGCGAAATTTGTGCATTTGGACTAAGCAAGATCAGGACAAATGCTGACTAACGAAAGATCAACGTAGTTAGGTTGGATTAGCTTATATTACATTAAGTAAATTGTCAGTTTTGGACAATAAAATCATGAGGTCACTGCCTTTTTTTATCACATACGTTTGCTATGTTTACATTCAAAATATTCTAAGAACTTAATAGACATAGTTTTCGGTAAGTTAAACATAGGAAGTCATAATAACTCTTGGAAAAAATTTGAATGAGGCATAGTATCATTTATATTATACATGCGTCCCCTTACCGATCCACTGAGACATTCCTATGGTATACAACAAGCCACAGGTACCTCATGGCTCATTCCTTTTTTACTGTTGATGCACCGACCGTCTAAAACCGGCCGAAACTATTATAAAATATTAATATCTCTACTGAAATGTACATATGGTTATCAACGAAATTATAGTATGTAATGCATATTATAATGTTATTTAATACCTAACTATATTTACGGTTGTATATATTATTACTGTTGTTTATATTTATATAATATGCTTAATGCTTATAATATGATGTATAGTAATAACAGTTTTTTATTTTTATTTAACTGGGTAAACGTAGGTAATTTTACCATTGTTATTTTCTAATAACAAAGCATTCATAAATAATGATATGTCTTTTTTTTTAATATTCTTATTACTTAGATACTAAAAATTTACATAAAAACCGTGTAAAATAATATTAACGATTGTATAACTAAAATACGTAAGAAATATGAATATTATTTCGATAGCTCGACTTTATTATATATCCTAATGCTCAATCCTCAATCTCCTTTAACCATGAACCTTTATTATAACTTATTATATACAATATACATAATTATATATATACCTTTATTATACTTCTTGTGTTTTTCTATGCCTACCATATTACAATCAAAATGGATCTTAAACTATCTTAATATTCCCGGTTATCAGTTTAACAATATTTATATTATTAAATACTGCTTAGTCTATCAACCTACGGCCACCGTACTGCAAAAAAAAAATGTACAACTATTATAACTTATAATAACATAACTGCAGTCATTATCACCACACATGGCAATCATATGTCTCTATGCATTTGGAAAAAAAGAAAAGAAAATAATAATAATAAAAAAAACGAAAAAAAAACACAATCTCTAAATATAAAAAAATATTATATTTTTCAGTATAAACATTTCAAAACTTGAGTTATCACTTTAGGTGTTAAAAAAATATACATAAATAATAGAAACGTACTAGATTATTTCATACATTATAATTAATTTAAAAAGAATGTGAACACTTTACCTTAAAATAAAAATTTCTGAATATTTGCTTTTTTATTTAATAAAAATAATTTTCTAAATTCATTAGAACAGTTTAAAAAGACAATGTTAAGTAAGCATAACCTAGCAGCAAATTCCATTTAATTACAGAAAATTCTTGTAATTTTGTAAATTCCTACAAAACGTTGGTAGTTTTAAATGTAGGGTTTGATATGTACAATACATTGCACCCAATTTCAATTTTTTTATCAATAAACTATTGACTACTAAGTTAATGTCCATTTGAATTTCATGAACTTAGAAATTAAGCTTAGTTAAATAAACGTGTGCCCAGGAATTGGGCCACAATTAACCTTTTTTCAAAAAGGTATTCGGTAATTGGGCCACTACAATTTTACATTTTTAACAGGTAGATCCGGTGATTGGATCACTATTTTAACTATTTTTTATTATTGTATCCGGTAATTGGGCCACTGTTAAACTAATATGTCATACCTATATAAATATTACGTGTATACGAAACTTAAATCGAAGTCACCGTGTGTCTTATCTTGACACTTATATTAGTGACCATGCTATTTTCCCTTCGCATATATGGGCTTTACGTTCTGAATCTGTAACTCAAACTACAAATGCCGTCGAGTCCTTTCATTCACATTTCAAAAACAATTTTTATATGTCACATCCAAATATTCATAATTTTGTAAATGTTTTATTGGGGGTCAATCCGAAGTATATATTAAAATGAGAAGCATAGGAACGCTAAAAGCAAGAAAACGAACTTTGATTCGAAAAATAATATATTTTTAATGAAATTCAAAATTATGAAGAAGGGAAAAAGAATAGATTTGAATTTGTAAAATGGGTATCACATTATTTAAAAAAATAATTGTATTTTTAAATATATAAAATCATTTAAAATTATTTGACTAATTATTGTATTAGTAGATTTGTGAAATCTGTGTGTGTGTTATTATTTTAAAAGATAAGTGTATATTATAGAAAAAATATTTATAATTATTATTATTGGACTAATGTTATTGTCCTCATATATTATATGAAATTTGTGAGATCTGCGTATGACATTATTAAAAAAAAAATTATTGTATTTCATGCATTATAAAAATAATTATTACTTAATAAACGTTATATACTTGTATATTTTTATGCTGTACATTTATGGCCCAATCTCCGGGTACACTTTAAAAATATAGATTTTATTTGTGGCCCAATTTCCAGGTAGTAAAATGTAAACAATTATCATATATGAAACAGGTAGGTAAAATGTGACCCAATTACCGACCGCCCAAATAAACTTATGTAACATTTTACTTCACTTAACTATTAATTTATGTACCAGCCATTAACTTAAATAAGCAACGAGTTAATTTTAAATTAGACCAAGCTAAGTTTATAATGTATATGAAGTAAATAATACTATGAGTTTTAATTAAGTTTATGTATAGAATATTAGAAAATAATATTTACAATTTACATATTATAGGTACTAAAATCCTTGATAAACTGTAGTTTAATGAATTAGGTATCCATTAAAATTAAGTCGAGGTGTCATTAAACTAATAAAATATTGCAATAGTATAAGTATATATTTTTTTTAAATTAAATTAATTTTTTTCTTGAATTTCATTAGATTTACAACTTTTTCTTTATTGAGTAAAAATGATTGATCATTACTTGTCCAGCTTTGGGCTTCAAGTGTAGTGAATAATAGCAATTCCCATAATATTTAATAATGATATTACTTTACTGGAATACTAAATTGTGAGTGTGTTTAGGTTCGTGCCTCGCAGATGTTGCGATCCGGCTTATACGCTGCCACCATTTTGGCAGGACAAAAAGAAAATAATGAGGGAGTCGAAGACGAGCATGACAAAGAGCCGATAGATATTAATAGCAAAAAACTCATATTGAAGCCTCTAGACTACCCGGAAACAGTGGAGGCAGTGTTTAGGTACGGTTCAGGAGGCCGCTTCGCGTCATGGGCCCCATTTGTCAAGTATGTGTATAAATTAATGTATATTGATAAACAAATTATAATACCCTCCGATAACCATTATGCATATTCTTCTAATAAAACATGCATTTACAAATTATTATAATTTATACCTCACAGAATTATATGGTCGATTTCGACGAATGGCATAATAATATATTATTATAAAACAATTATACCAGAATTTCGAATTATTTACATAAGATTTAGTACCTATAGGTACACATAGTTACTGCAGTGGTTTTCAAACTAGGTGCTGCGGCACACTGGTGTGCCGCGAATATCCACTAAGGGTGCCTCGGTTTTTCCATAAATTGAATTGTTCATCTAAAAAAAAGGTCAGTGTGCCGTAAAAATATTTTGAAGTGTACGGTGTGCCATGTATAATAAAAGTTTGAAAACCACTGATATATTATAATGTAATGTGTTGGAGATTTAAATATAATAATCATAATATCAATTAATATGTATTCGGACAACAACAATTTCTTTAAATAGGCATGTTTGATCGTAAAAAGGTCGTAGAGGTATATTTAGCAGCTTCGCACATACAGTTTTCAAACCTTCCTAGAACATAATTATGTATTACAGCTAAGATCCCTTTGATTTTTAGAATTCTGGGCTAATGCGCCTAGGTACCACCCCTACACTCTTTATACTTACCTATTGCAACATTATATATTTCTTCTATGAATTTAGAATCTATATATATTTCTTCGGCGCTCACCGATATATTACTAACCGTCAAATATTTTGTTTGTTTGTTTGTTTGTGTGTTTGCTCACTTCACTTCACCGTAACTCCACGAACAGAAAGTTCACCACTATATCATTGATCGCAACTTATTACGGTGTCAACATCATCTACGTGTGCGTCGTGGCTAGCACCAGCAAGCAGGTATGGCGTAGATAAGTCCGGATACTAATATATATGCCCGATGGTTAATAATAACATACAATGTAGTAGCAACACTAACAAGTTTATTTTTATTGCATACATGGTACCCACCACGTTTATCGTCCCACATTTATACTGCACGGTGCACTGGACTTAACATAGGTTTTTTGACTCTATTACAATGTTATATGAAAACACATTATTAGAATGAATTCGGCTCTCAAAGCATTTACACGAATTAAGTACCTAATTATGCTTTATTATAAGTTGGCTATTTCATATTTGTATGAACCACGAAAACCAACATTCGAATTCATTCAATTGTGAGTTCATAATATTTGAATATAAATTTTAATTGAACAAAAATATACATTGAATTATTACAACTATCATTTTCTAATAATATGCAGTATAATAATAGTCCAACGTTATGTTATGTTTTAATAAAAAAATTGTTAGAAAAAAGTTATTGACGAGAAAGAACGTGGTGGGACGTCTTGTTTATATTATAATATTATAATACTTAAACACTTACTCGAGTAACAATACTGTCAACAGAATCGTTATTTCTTATTACTACTCATACTTATAATAATTAATAGGTACTTATATAAATATATAAATGTATATATACATATATATACAGAATCTTCCAGAATTAACTGTAAATTTTTTTATGAGGTTCACTAATATTTTCGAAATTTGATTTTATATTCATACTTGATTGAATGATTGAGTATTAAGTAAAATTTTAATTGATTGAAAAGAAACTTTAAGATTGTAATTGTCCACAACTAAAATCTATTTTTACATGCGGTTATAAACTATAAGGTTATAAATTAAAAGCAGTACCTACTATTTTGGAATTTTGATGGGAGATCGAAGATGCTAAGTAAACTGCTGCAGGTTATCGTAAGCTCGAAAAACAATTTTAATTAAATCTTAATAAAATAATTGTAATGTTCTAAGAACAATTCAATAACGAGACTCATTGAACGCACCGTTGTGTAAACGTCTTGTACAAATGTACAGCCTCTGTACGACTTTAAAATAACAGATTATCTACCCTCCTCCTTTTCCGTTACAGCTCGTCGACCTTTACACTACAGGTGCAGAAATGGGCACTTGGAGCTACGCATTTCACGATTTGAACATCCGTTGGTACCCCTTGGTCGTAGCTCTATTGATCATTCCTATGGGAATGATACAATTTATTAAATACTTGGTACCATTTTCTACCATTGCCAACGGACTCATTTCGGCAGGCGCCGTAGTGTTGTTTTACTTCATTTTCACTGACGACGGAGGACGCGACCCTCTCCTGCCAGAAGAACGCTCCAAATTGGTGGTGTGGCCGATGACTCGCTGGTCACTGTTTGCCGGAAGTGCTCTTTGCTCAATGGAAGGCGTTGGCATGGTGAGCATTGTTTTTTTACATATTTTTTTTTTGTGGAAGCCTAAATTAATATAAATATCTAGCAGCCAAAGCAAAGACAAAATAATATACATTATTACACAATTTCGTTTAGATTTATAAGATTTGGTTACCAGTATTCTATGAAAGTATCCAAATATTATTTAAAATATTATGCATTTTATAAAATATATTTATCATATTACGTTTAGGACACAAGTAGACACAATATACTCGGAACAGTCAACACTATAATATTAAAGACATTTGTTTATTTTTTTTTTCGTACCCTGCAAAGCTACAACGTTGTTATACAAATTACTACACTATTTGAGAGGTAACGTGTGGAAAGAATATGGTATACACATAAACGTACTTAGTGATATACATTTTACTCATCAGGGGTTATCCGTGAATTCATCGGTGACTACAATTATCTCACAAAGAATCAATGTAAACGTGCTTAGAATGGGTAGATTATACATCTTTGGTATTTGAAATGAAGGTATGTTGTTCTTTTTGGGTACAATTTGTACATTCCACTGACTATCGAACGATCGAGAACACTTAAAATTAACAAAGAACTTACCAATGACCAAAGAAACCCAAAAATTAATACAATTAAAAAACGAATTTCAGTGCAACCTTATCATATACATATATATATATATATATATATACTTGAAATAAATATTCTTGAAAAAAGTCATAAATTAATAATTATAATCATTTACAAACGAGCGCCTAATAATTCGTAGTACATAATATGAATAAAAAATTTAAAGTATGTAACTATTATAAAAATATTTAATACCTGTTTATATCTATAAAATGTAAATGCAAAATACGCAGAACTTATAAAATTATGTAATTTATATGTATAAAAATGAAATAAATATAACATTAATATAAAATTCCGATAAATATCAACAAATTATTGTGTTCATATTATCTGTCGATTACATTTGGCGGCGTTGAAAAGATAAATTAATCGTTCTCAATTGTATTTTACCGATTCCACAAGCTGATTAACAGGTACCTCTGGTACCTATACGATTTTAGGATCAGGTTTATGGAAATTATTTCAATGGTGCATTATTTTGACTCGAAAAAAATAAAATATGTGAACCTCACCAATATTATTAAAAATAAATTTAAACCTTTTAGTACAAATATATGTTTCTATATTCTGTATAAACATAAAACACCACCGATATTATAAAAAATCAAATTTATATTTAAATATAAAATAATAACGGTAGAGTTAACATTATATATTCGAAAGTTGGTGTTAGTGAAATTCGCATTTTTGTCAGGCTAAAACAATATACCTGCAATATTTACATTTGAGTACAAAAAGGGTATAATCGGTGGAATTTACTATAGTTGTCCTTTTTTTCCAACTTTTATGTCCTAACTAAAATTTAAGATACAGTAATAGTGTCAATATTTTGATAGTGCATCAAGTTATATATTTTTAGATTCTTGAAGTAGTGTACGCAATTTATTTCATATTCATATAATATATAGGGTGTTTCTGAAATTGATGAGGTCACAAGTAAATGAGCACCCACTGTGATGGCCCAACAAACATTTTATTGAAATGTATGAGATAATAACAAAGTTACGGTTAACAGAGTTTTAACCATTAAATGATTAAATTTATTGCCATACATTTAAGTTAGGTGTTGTAGCCTTGTAAGTGTACCAGGTCTTACGTTATCTGAAAAATACGAGATTTTCAATTTATAAGTACGGTATTTACTTATTTGAAAAAAATTAATTGTTTTCATGTTCGGATAACTTTCAGGTAACTCTTTAGGTTCTATTAGATCTAAAATTCATAAGTTAAATGTATGTATATATATTTTAATATTTATACATGTGGGGCTCACTATAAATAAAATAATAACGATAGAGTCCCTTCATAGGTACCTAATATGCTATTTTAAAAGCAATAGAATATAAATTTGAAGTGATTCGATCTTATTTCGTTTGTAAAAATGACTATTATAGTTTTTAGTAGTTCACTACCTACTTAATTTAAGTAGTTAATTATATTTTACAGCTATGATCATAAATTGATTGAATGTTGAAATAACACATTTTAAATACATATATATAAATCTCAATAGTATACAATATATTGTGTGTGAATAGGAAAATCTCAAATTTATAAATTACAAAATAGCTTTTCCACTAATTTGATAAATGCCAATACATGGGAATTTCATATGTATATTTAAACATGTACTACCTATTAAGTTAAACATCTATTATACCTATGGGCAGTGTTTGATTTGGAAAAAATTACAAGGTGAGAAAATGTATTATTTAAATGATATATTTATTGTGAAAATTGTATTTACCTGAATATTTAAATGTCTTATTGATAAGAATATAATTAAAATGAGTGTGGTATACCTAAAAATATATGTTTTTTTTAAAAATAATTTCTAATTCCACCTCCACGTATCCTTGAATCAAGAATCACTGCCTGTAGGCTATTGTACTATACTATTTAAGACTAAATTGTGCTGTCTTGTTGAATATGTCACCCGATCGTCCATCTCGCACCGTTTTCCCCGTACCTGTCACGTATAAAGCTGATGCACATCGAAAACACAATGAAGAGACCACGTCAACTCGCTGGGCCTCCATACACACTACACTGGTCTATGGTTATCATCGTGATACTCAACTTCGCTTTGGGATTCTTCGGATATATACGCTACGGGGAAAGGTGCCTGGGCAGCGTGCCACTCAACTTGCCTCAGAATAACAGGTTAGCTGTTAGCATAATATTCTGCATATATATTACCTATACTTTACGCCTGAATATGCGGTGTATTATTTATTTTACTGTAACCGTCGATTTCGTGCTTGCACAGACTTTCAGAGGCTGTAAAAATCGTGGTGACTTTGGGAATTCTCATGACTTACGGACTCCAGCTGACCGTCACCGCGGACCTAGTGTGGCAATGGCTTAATGGAAAGACTGAGAATAAAATTTACCGGAGAATTGAATCGAAAAACGAGGAAAAGGCAGCAAAGGGTCTTCATTATTATTTAATGAGACTTATGTTGATCATTGGGACCGGTAAGTGTATATACGAGACATCATAAGTTGTTGAGAAAATCATTAATGGACGTCTTATGTTCGTGATTACAGTAATTGTCGCGACTGTAGTACCCAACGTCGGGCCAATGATTTCTCTCGTCGGCTCCGTCGGTTTTTCAGTACTTGGTCTCGTGGTACCCGTGGCATTGGAAACCGTGTGGTATTGGGACCCAAAAAGCGAGGATGATTTCGAAGACACCGTACAAGAGATGAACTGCGATGCTGAAACAGTGGAGGACGGAAATGGATTGGCGTCAGCAGCGGTGCTGATGTCAAAGGCTGCAAAGATTGATAAAGCCAGACGGAAAATAGCCAATCGCCGAACCTTACGACACGTGAAAAATGCTGTTTATGTCATGATGGCTTTGTTCGCACTGACCGGCGGAGCCTTCTACAATTTACGGGAAATGTTGACTCAGGCTCCGAGCCACGACATGCCGGCACCAGCCATTCCTCGTATTGAAGCTTAACATTTTTTTAAATTTCGATTTTTTTATTACTTTACTATTATATTATATAATTATCTGTAATTACAAATTAGTGTTAAGAATGGTGTCTATGGAGAGACAATATTATAATATTATCGTTTCTCAATCACTGCATGAAATTTTGATATTTTTCACAGATAAACATTAAAATATTAAAGACTGCACATATTGGACTATAACCGTTGGTTATGAATTTCCTTCGATGTTCCTCATCGCGATAATATTGTCACTGTGTAGAATGCGTAATTATTGTGAAACGCACACGTCTTTAACGTACAGCCTTAGGCTACTTAGTTATTTAGTTGCGGTTTTTTTTTAGAACGTTTTTTTTAGTTATAGTTTTAAACAAAGAAATACATTTTAATTTACTTCAAAGAGCATAATTTTATAATATTTTTTCATCAATATTTACTATTATTTTTACTCATTATTGTAGATTTAATTTATTAATATAATCACATTAATATTTATTTTATTTTCTTATTTTTTGGTAACTTTAATATTATCCTAAACAACCATCATATCCTCCTGACCACCAATAGTTATAAGTGCCTAAATAATAAATAACTCCGAGATTAGAGTAACAAATTCAATGTTTTTGCTAAAACAGCATATTTTGATAAATAAATATAACATGAAACATAATAATATTATGTATAGGCCATAGGGTTAAAGACCTAAAGCTTGAAATCTGTTACCGGATCTTACAAAAAACCATACATTCCGGAATTTTGGGAACCTTAAATCGGTTGTCGGTTGTCGGTTATCGGCTACCGTCACGATTTTCCAGTTAACATAAAACTCTATAATAACATAATATGTTTTAACCGGTTAAGAACCGATTACCGATATTTATTAATACCGAGTACCGACTACCGTTACTTATGGACTATAATATGTTTAATTTAATTTAGCTACGTAAGTAGAGCTCGTAGCTACTATAATATTTAACTTCTTAAAACTATTTTTAAATCATGCTACATGTGGAATCAATTTGGTTTTAAGAAACTGAAAACCTACATTTTTTTGAAGCGGTTATCGCTTCATTGGTAACCGGAAATATTGAATATAGGACCGGTAATGTGTTACCGCTAACGACAGGACCAGTATTTATATACATTTTCGTTACCGTTAAAGCGGTAAAGAAAATTTTGGTAACGATTTCAAGCCGTTAAACCATACAAAAATCGAATGTTATAATTGAACGTGCATTGTGTAGGAATTCCAGTGGAATCTTTGAGATGTTCCTGAATCAGGTGCCCGTATTTGTCGTTTTTATTGCCCCGTCATAGATGATAGATGTGCAATATATATTGCACGGATACTAATAATTATTCACAAAATGTTTTTTTTTCTTTTTCAGTAGTACCTAAGCCCATTGTTACTTCATAATACAGTGACTTACACACGGTTGAAAGGGGCGTTTAATCCCCACTTGATATTTTTTTAATATACGTATAGATATATAAAAAATTAATAAAACTAAAAAAAAAATGTTGATACTTTTACACACATATATATATATGTATAATATTTTAATTCAACCACTTCCATTGAAAGTATCTGAGTACGAAACTATATTATACTATTATACAAGTAGTACTATTTATTTAAGTATTTTTTAAATATGTAAACTTAAGAAAATATAGTCTTGTATACGTGTTAAACGTCTCATTGTAAATAAATTAAAATAAAATATGAAATTTGATAAACCTAAATAAATGAAAAGTATGAGTAAGTAGGTTAGTTATATTGTGATTGGAAAAAAGTGGTTTAATTAAAGAAAGTCTAACTATTCAAATTATCAGTTCAAACCCGTCAAAAACACGAAACGGGTGTGGCACATTTTTATTTAAATGTTCAGGTAGAAAAGGTACGATTTTTATTTCAATCAAAAGTAGTATTTTCTTGAACTCCAATCTCATGCCATTGCATCCAAGTCAATTGTCGTCAAATATATTTTTTTTTAAAATTGAGAGAATTTTGGATTACAACAACATTGCTCTTATATTGAGTGACAGCGAAATTAATATTTATACAGGTAAGTTATATAAGTTATAACTTACAATAGGGTTTAAAACGTCAATGCTCAATGGACGTTCAAAATACGTTCAAGTGCATACACACCACTTCGACTATTCGAGATGTCGACACTAATCCAAGAATGGGTAAGTAATATGGGTCAACAATTTTGTTTGTATAATTTTTTTTTTTTTTTGTATGTTTCCAAATCAATACTTATAATAAACAATGTGACAAGAAAAATATATAATTTTTGGAGAGATAAAATTGCAAATTATAGGTAATACTTGATAAAAACAATTTGAAAAAAAAACCCATTCAAAAAATCTAACTTACAAAAACAATACATATTATGATATATTGATGTCTACTTAAGATTATTATTAAATTTTTAGGTATGTTTTCAGCTACAACAAATACGATTTTTAAGATTGTTATTATAATTATAATGGTACTTATTAATTGATTATTTTATAATACATTTTCTAATTTTAAAAGTTTTATTAGGTACCTAATAATAATATTGTATATAATGATGTAGGTATAACAATAAAACTGAGCAATAAATTGAATATTTCAAAATTCTATTGTTACCAGCTAAAAATAATTCCAATTTGGTAAAAATTCATGAACTATGATTATTACTTATCATAATCGTTACAAAATCAAGTAACCAAAATAAATCAATAAATGATGGTTAATGTAAAGAAGATAATAAATTAATAAACTATTTTCGATTCCACTTCAACTATTGTACATTTCTTTTTTTCACAACAAATTATTTGATTTTCATTCAAACAAACTCTTAAGTTTTCACCTAGTACGCGTGGGTATTAGGTATAAAACTATAAAAGTTATATCCGTTTAATACAATTAGTACCCACACGAAGATGAAGATCCTATATTAAACAAATTTAACTGTTTAGTAAAAATTTTCAAAAATTCACTAGGAATAGAAATTATAAACATAATATAATTATTATGACATATTGGTGAAAACATTATTATTATTCATTACCTAAATTAAATTATTAAAATAATACTTTTAAAAAAATGTAAAAATGTAGGTACCTACTAATTGACTAGTTGCTAAACACGTCATTCAACTAGTTGTGCAAAAGAAAAATTATCAAATAAACAACGTTTTTTCTTTGATGTGTTCAATTTAGATAGTAAATAAATTTATTATTTATTCACTATAATCAATGATACTATGTTAGTTATAAATAAGTTTGTTTTAGTTTACTTTGTTTTAACTACGTTTTGTAATTTAATTTGTTATTCTAAATCGAATTAGACGAAGGTATATTAAATACGTCCACAAACATATTCAGGCACTCGGTTATTTCTTGAAATCTTATAAATAATATTTTATAATTTTGACTACAGTGGCGGAAATTGTCAATTGAACACCATTAACTTCCGATACAATTTTTAAACAGACAAAGCAACAAGTATTCTTGCACGATTCCTACTGATTTTGAGGATTTACATTTTACACAGTCGGTTTAAATGATATAGTGTTATATTAAATTAATAATAACAAGATAATGTCATTAACAATTTAGTAGACGTATAAAATTATATACCCGTAGATTATCGTATTATGTATTATTATATACATATGTCTACATCGTAATAGTTAAAAACAATTATACGGCAAAGCGCATTTATAATTTTCGAGATAACGACGGCGCAATGCCATGAAAATAAAATAATTATTCATTTAAATCGGAACCTATCTATGTATTGATCTATCAATATTGCAGGTCATTAGAAGTTTAAATTTTTTTTTAATATTATTTGAATGAGCCACATCAACAAAGATTATTGGCTTTACTTAAGGAAGGAGAAAAAAAAGGGTTTACGTGTTATACATTTTGGTACAGCATCATATAAGGTTATATAAATTGGTTGATTTTAAGTATTTGGGAGTTTTTTCAACGTTGTCGATATGTGGACAATATAGTGCTTCGTGGAGGCTGTCAGCAATTTGAAAATTTGATCGATTGTCAAAAGTTAAAACTAGTGTAGTATCGAAAACATATCGACCTTAAACTTCTCAATAAACAACTCTTACACTCCCGCCATACTGTACCTATGTAATATATATTATAAATGTATTATAATTATAAGATACACAACAAAATTAAAAATACAAAAACTTTTGTATTCTCCATGAGGTATATCAAAATATCAATTAGTTAACTTTTTAACAGTAGATATTTATTACATAGGTATACTAAGTATAGCTACAATATTTAAAAGTTATTTTAGATTCTGAACTGAGCGAGGGATATGACGTGTTGATTTTACAATGATGACTGATGAGTATTTATTTTTATTTTTTTGTCTGTGTACTTACACGATAACTAGTCGAGATAATGGAAATAAATTTTCAACTTCAGCATCTTAACTAATTTTTTCGACATTGGATATTCAGCATAATGATTTCACAAGGGAATTTTGAATATTTATTTTAGTATATTCTATACATCAGAGATGGCGAACCTATGACACGCGTGTCACTCTGTGACACGCGCACACTATCTTAGTGACACACACAAATGTGTAAAAGTTTGATAATATTAAAGTTTTGAAAAAAAAATTGAAGTGTTACCAAAGTAGTTGACACGCTGGGAAAACAAAATCCAACCAATATTTTTATTTGACACGCTGGTACAAAAACGTTCGCCATCCCTGCAATACATGGTTACATTTTCAAAATATTTTGACTCTTTTTGAGCTATTTATAGGCATAAGACATTTTTTGTTTTAGTATTTTTCCTATACATATCAATAAAAATTATTAGGTATGGTAAAAAGCTGAAAAATTGAATTCTATAGTTTAAAAATAATATAATATAATATAATATCAGTTCACAAATATTAAAAATACATATAGCCACGATTGGTTTTTAAAATACTTTTAATGTTCAAATGTTGACAACATTTATCAAAATCACTAAAATATACAAATTATTTTGTAGTTAAAAATGTATAAAATGTTCATTTTTTATAGCTTAAGATTGAAAATTTAAAACAAGGTTACTAAAAAATGTCCAAAAAAAAAAAAGATTTCTCAAGTATTTTATAATATAACCAAAAAATCAGAAAATTTATTATATTTACACAGTTTTTTTTTTAAATATACACATTAAATTAAAATTTAAACAAAATTAGATATTGAAGCCGGGAATGAAAGTTTTAACTATTTTTTTTTTAATTCATAAATATGATTCGTGGTTACTTGAAACTTATAAAAAAATTAAAGCAAAAATTAATTCAACCTGTTGTTTTGTTAATAGCAAAATACATTACAATATCATCATAAAATATACATACAGTAATAAAATCTGTTAGACCATATCTCTCAAAATCGTATTTCGAACACAATGATATTATACAATTGAATTCAAATTTATCATATACATTACAGTGACCCAAGTGACACATATGTAATTTATAGCAAACCGGTATTCATTTACCCACTATTTAATATTTTTATTAAGTATGAATATTGCATATTATAGGTGATATTTCTATTGTAAAATGTTTAGAACGGATTTCAAAAATTTCATTCAATAGTTAGTAATAATAATTTTAAAAATATATATTTAAACAGAAACATTTTTTAATGCAATGAAAAATATAATACAAACTTAAAAGTAAAAGGTCTCGATAAAATAAAAGTACCGATAGATAAATGTTTTCAAAAAATATAAATTAATTAAAGTACTTAAAAAAATGCCATCAAAACTTATGACGATAAAAAAGTATTCAATAATTTATGTTAATTTAATGCTTATAAATTTAAGTTAAACATTTCAACTGTATATGAACACCGAACAGGTATTTATTTTCTATAAATAAATATTAATACGAAACGCTATGATTAAATTAATTTAGTTCTATTAGGTACACCAGTTATAATCTTAGCAGAAAATGATAAAATGATACAATTAATTCAGATTAATTCAAACAATCATACAGTATGAATAAGTTAATAATTGTTATCATTAACATTAAAACTTAAATTGAACATTTATAATAGGTACTATTCTTAAAGTAGTTAAGTACTAATGTCTAATGCAAACACTACCAAGAGGTTATAACAGTGTAAAGTTAGATATATACTCGTATATAATATCTTAAGTCTACATATATAATTAATATGATAATAAATAAATAAAATAAAATATTATATGTAACTACCTAATCAAAATATATAAAAAAATCAATTCAGATTTGACGCAAATAATAAATTTAGAGAAAAAAATTCAAACTTGGCTTTTTTAAAACTAAATCATGGCTACAAGATATTTCATAAAATGTAATTATATTAATTAAAAATAAAAAATGGTTTCAAAATATAAATTTAAATACTATGACTTATTATTTTATGAAGATATTATTATAAATTTATTAACATTATAGTTCATCTAAATGTCACTTAAAATAATTATTAACTTATGAACTATTTTGTAATTATCAACTATCGTGTACGGTTATCATAAAAAAAAAACTGTAGTGCTTATTAGTTATTAATTATTATTGAAACCACAGGAATTCAGCATTGATTTAAAAATATTGATATTGTAATTTATTAATTAATAGTACCACAATGAAGGAATAGCTTGATAATTTTGACTTTCCTTTAAAGTTTATCTTCAACACCTCCATTATTGTCTAAGACTTAGGTACATTATCCATACAAACAAATAAAAATAAAGATGACTGATTTTGGTGAAAACAAAACAATTTCGCTGTGATAAAACTTTGAACATTGAACCTTATTATTATTTTGTAAAGATATACGATTCTCGCTTTAGGATTTAAGGTACATTGAGAATATGACGTAATAATTGAATAAGACTGAAAACTTATCAGGATAAGCCATCAATTTCTTATAAATATTGAATATTATAATAAATAATGTATATAGCGGTTCTGGCAATTTAAACGACAAAAATAGTAGTATTAATAATATATTATGTGTATGTTGTTTTGATAAAATAATTCGTAAAGAACGGTTTTATAATTAAAGTGCGCAAATAATAAATCATACCATAACAATTATGAACACTCGTAGGTATTTAAAATAATTGGATATACGAATAGTAATAACATCTATTAAATTATTATGTATTATTTTAATAAGTATATGTTAATACTGAGATAACCGAAATCGATTCCTACAAAAATCCATAGGTGATACCGGCGTATAATTAAACCATGGGATACGTAGGTGTACAGTGCACATGCTAACTGTCTTATCGTCGTCGTATATTTGTGTTGCCGTTTAATAATAATATAATATATAATAACTTATTATTGGAATACGCACATTATGCGATATTATTATTATTGGTGTTCGGTTTTCCGAGCTTTCGAATTGCATTCGGTTACGCGTGTTGCTCGCTCGACGCCCATGGTCAGAGTAATTATTATCGCGCGCGTTATCGCTATTGTCATTACAAGGCGCCGCCGTCACCACTTTGGGACGTATAACTGTTTCGATTGATTCTATCATTAAGACAAATTAGTGCAATCTACGCACTCAATTATAATTATGTCGTCTCTACACAATATTATTATCACATTCTGTTGTCAAATTCGTCCATTCATTGACATATTATAATAGTTTCGTATGATAGTCGAGTAATAGTCACAAAGCAACAACATCGGCAGTAACACGACTTCACCGCATTTATCGACCGAACAGTTTAGCCAGCGCAGATTTAAAGAGCATAGAAGTCACCACTGATAGATGATAATGGTGACCGCCTGCAATCTACGTAATCGGCATCGAAATTAATTAAAATATTTCGATAATAATAATTGTAGTCGTCGTTATATATTTTACTCATATTCGCCCCAAGTCTAAAATAAATCTGTTCAGTCTGTCGACGCCGCTCACATCGGACGGACGGCCTGCCTTTGGACACATTGACCGGACAACGGGACAACTGGACGAGAAAAGCAGCAGCAGCGACCGTGACAATTGAGGAGAGCGAAGAAAAATCGCAGCGTTTCCGCTGCGACACCGTCAGCAGTAGCACATCATACCAAAATCACCATCACCACTACCACCTGCAACCCTCCCAGCTGCTAAAGGTAAGAGTCGTTTTTCGCTTGTTTTTTTACCCAATTCGATTGGTTATTTTTATTTTGTCATTGTGTACACGTGTCATCTTCATCGTGTGGAGGTCGTCGACGCCTTTAGGTATATTAATATATATATATATATTATAATAATATATATACGAGCGCAGAAACTTGTATATATAGATATAATTATGAGCAAGGTACAATAATATTCGTAGTGATGCGTGACGCAAGCGTCATGTAGAGTAGCCGCCACCGCTCCCTCGAATCTCGAGAGGATGTAAACATTTTTTTTTAGAAGCATTTACTCTTGTTAATAGCGGTAAAGAAATAGGAAATGTACATATAACGACTACCTACGCGATGTCGGCGATAAGAGTAAAGCACGGTGAAATAAGTAGATTGTATGTTTTTATTTATGCAGGTAAACCTGCTCTTGAGATACAAGTGATTCGACGAGTGTAAACAGTTATTATTTCGAATCATTATTTTTTTTTTCCTCGTCTTTATCGTCGTCATTTGCGTCCAATGTAGTTAACGTCTATAACGACGTGTGTTGTTGACAGACGCAGTATTTATATTGCCTATAGGGAAAAGTCTTTTCGTCTGATAATGATATCACTGTACACTTTGTGCAATTGTACATACAAACAGTTCCCATTAAAAAAGACATAAGAACAAACTATACTGCTTTATTATTTGATGACCACTCAGTATCCACATTTTTACATAATATAATATTTTACTTCAAAACGTAATCGAGTAGGTATGTATTTTTACTTATTTGATTGGAACTAAATAAATATTTCTTTAGCATTTGAATGTTTAAAAAAAAACGATTACTTTATGAATTTTGTTTTATAAGATATGGTAAACTGAATAATCATCGAAACCGGGTGGTCTGACTTTTACATCGTTTTAATAAAACGATACATTCATGATTTATAAATGGTTTCAAACGTCCAATAAAGACACATTTTTATAAAATGTTTAAAAAAATATCATAAGAAATTGAAAATGTTATTTAAGTATCTACTATGTTGGTTTATTATATGAAACAAAGTTAGTAAGAAACATAGTTCATAAAATGGCATATCGATTTGAAATTTAAATGTTACATATAATTGTACTATTTTTTCTTGACAAAAGTATCCAAGAATATCCTAAGAAATATAATACATTCTGTATTCAGTAATTCGGTAAATTAGTCATCAAACATAATAATATTATATGAAGGTCTACCTATCTATTATGTATTTTATACTTAAGATGTATAAGTTTTATAGTTAGGCGAGTACATAGCTTAAATGTATCTAAGTGACATTAACACATTATGAATCGGTGTATATCAATTAATGATTAAGATTGAAAACATTTTTAAAAATTATTAAAAATGAACAAAAATAAGTTGTGCAGCTGTCTTAGATTACATATATTTTGTATGTACCTATTCAAACTATACAGATATATTTACTACATTGTATATTACTACAATAATATATAGAACAACATCCAAATTTAAAATAAAATATTATTGTCTTACATACACATAAAATAAAATAAATGCAAATTCCTAATTTTAAACTAATGCTTGAATTAATATTTTTTATTTCATGTTTATTGACATATAACGATGAGTTATGTGGAAATTTTCAATTAATAACATAATTTTCAACAGATTAAATCACCATTCAAACGCTAAATATGATATATTTGTATATACCTAACTAATATGCCTAATAAGATTTTATTAATTTTCAAACTATCTATTTTATTTATTTTATTTTTACAATTGACTAAAGATAAAATAATAAAAACTTAAATTAATCAGAGCAGTTTAACTTGAAAATTTAAGAATTATTTGAAAATTGTACTATAATGTGGACCACGTGTGGTCTATTACCAAAAATCAAATCATTAGGTATGACTTTTATGAAAAAAACACTATAAAAATTCACATATTTGACTGTTTGTAGGCCTCAAGATTTATTTTATTTTATTTCGATCAATTTTGATGATAAAAACATTTATTTTAAGTCGAGTAGTTTATTTTTTAGAATTTTTTTAAACATCAATATTTTTTTGATTAAATTCATTTGGAACGTAATAACTTTTTTCAAAATATAATTCTAGGAAAATTGCTGACATTAGTGTATTTTTTAAAAATTTGACCTACGTTGTGATGTAGCATCATTTTTTTTTTTTTTTTTGGTCAGGTCTATCTGTTACACCTTGTGTATACAGAAAGTTTTACCAGGACTCAAAACCACACATCTATATGATTTGTTATAAGTGTTATAACTATAACAAACAGTATAATTTTATAGCGGACTACTTTATTTTAGGACCCTTCTATACATGTATACAATGTATATATATATATATAATATTTATGAATTGTTTTGATCTTAATTTTTATCGAGACCGTAAAATTACATATGTGTTTGAATTATTTATTATTATTTTTTTTGTAGGCAATTTGATATTTTATTTGAACACAACTATTTATAATTTCAAAAATTGTTATGATATCAATCAATGGTACGTCTTATGTTCTTATATATTTGTTATTCTTACCGAAGAAAATTCGACAAACAATATCCACTAACCACTTGTTAACTTACATATTTCATCCTTACTAATTTTATTTTTTTAATTTAATCATCAAAATTATATTAGTATTTAAGGTTGGATTATTTTTAATTTTTATTAAAAGTTATATGTAATTCAAACAAAAATATTATATCCTTGATTCTTGAACAACAGGCTTAGATTTGATATTTGAAGGTACAATACTCCATGAAAAAATATGACTAGCTGTTTGGGTAATGTACTTATAATATCGAATAATTATTAAAATATTAAACATATACCCAGTATATTATTGTACCAATTCAATGAAACTATTAATTTTTTTATCACGTTATTTGGGGCACAATAATCGGTCGTTATTTACGTATTTTGTTCATCTATAAAACTTTAACATTATAATACTATACCGATTGCATGATTTAGATGCATTAGTGACGATATTACGTTATTATATTAACGACAACAAAACGATACATATGGTCACATAGGTAAACCTAATGCCTAGTCAAACAGTGATGCCCATGGTTTATGATTTGTAATGTGTATTTTCTAGCAGATTTCGCAGTATGAAACCCACAATGAGTTTGAATGGACATGGTGTAGACGGCAACAATGGCAACGATGGAGACGGCAACGTCGGAACACAGGGGTGGCGTCGTGACAAGGGTGGAAAAAAGCAGCTGCCGTACGACCCATTTCAGATGCGTGACAACTCCAATTCAACCTCGTGAGTATAAACTGGATTGTTATTATTATTATTTGTACCTCCTTGATTTCGTATCTGCAACACAAAATGGTTTTCCAGTGCGACCGGCGCTTTGTTACATCTGATAAAGAGTAGTCTCGGTTCTGGCGTTCTTGCCATGCCGAACGCTTTCAAAAACGGCGGTCTCATTTTTGGCCTGTTTGGGACTGCTGCCATCGGAGCGCTGTGCGCGCATTGCATCTACCTTCTGGTGAGTATAACAACAATACCCACGCTGTGTACATACCTATAGGATCATTCTCATCGGTTCTGCCCTTGTCCCTTAGCCTGTCCGTTCGTCTGTACACACCAAATATATATAGTAATGATATACGTTATCGTACAAAGCGATTGATTCATCGAGTATAAGTGGTATCATCATTATTCTATTCGAAATTGTATTAAAAATAAGTTAGTCATGCTCATTTTATGTTTGTTTGTTAAGAATTACAACTATTTAAAAACATATTCTGCTTTAGAATAGACAATAAATTCAAATTAATATAAAGCCATTCGAAACGAAAATGTAAAGAAGCAAAAATTCATTCAAGAATACATATTGTTAATGATAGACAGGTTACTAATGTATTAGAAAAAACCTTTTGTTATTGTAACTTATAGTACCTATAAGTACTTCAAATAGCTTTTGAAATTAAAAAAAAAAACTAAAATTGGCAGAAAACTGTCACAATGTGTACTGTGCATAGACACTCTTTAGACTCGTGTTATATGTATGTCATCTGCGTATCAGTCAGCAAACAAACTTATTTTATTATTTAATATCAAATGATTGTTAATCAGTGAGAACAAAATGAATTTCAACGATGTTATTTACCTTCCTGTTAAACTCTTTGTTTATTTTAGATTATGAGGAATGATATTCAATATCTAACATTTTTAAATTCTAAACAGAACAACGAATGTATTGGTTTTACAACGATGTGTGTTGTGTTTTTTGTGCCTGTCATCACTTTTTAGAGCACCTTTTCAATCTCAATCTTTGAGGGGTTTCGGGTAACAAATTGGACTTAATGGTTATTTGATACTACTTATGGGAGGTCAAAAATATTAACCTTAGAAACTTGAAACATTCCACTGATATTACTTAAATTATCATTTTCTATTTACAACGTTATTTTAAAAATAAAATAAAATTCCTCATAAGTTGTACTAATAAAAATTTAAAAATATTGAAATTATATGGACCAAAATTGTTTTATTTATTTTCACTTTGGCCTTTTCGCCAGTACGTATACTCTTGTATTAATAATTCTTCACTAAGACACAATAAATTTAAAAAATATTTAGATTCATTCATAAGCTATTTATACTATGAACCTATTCACAAAAATTGTACATTTTTACATTGGTACATCGGTATACATTGGCATACAAGTTAATTATTTTACCTAAAATATGTTACTGATTTTGTTAAAATTAATTCAACTACATGGTAGATCAATGAGTACTCCAAAAGTGTTTTAAAAAGGTCCAAAGGCTCAAATTCCGAAATCCACATCGATTTGTTGTATGAACGTATTAATTGTGTTTACTTGCTTTTGTTAAGGCGTTCGATGTAGACAATCGTAATGACATTAAAAAAAAACTTTAAACTAAAAAAAAATGTGTTTCAAGTTACAAATTACAATATTATACTCTTAAAGAACTGTACAACGTAAATTAATGTACTTGCCACTTACATCATTTACGGTTTCACAATATTGTTTTTATGTGTTTCACGCCGTTAAATGTTTTCCAAGTAGGTGCATACTATTATCCATGAATTTAAATTCAGTAGTATCATTTGCCCCAGGCTGATTTTAAAAGCAACCCTAAGAGCAGAGGTCTAATTGTTTCAGTTCAACAATTAAAATGTTTTGTTAGCTTAAAAACATGGCTATTTTTAAAATATTTTGAAAAAATATTATATTATGTACAAAAATATTATTGTCACAATGATAAATTAATGATTATTTATTAATAATATTAATATAGTTGGAACACGTTTATACTGACACGCATGCGAGGACGTGCATGAAAGTGGTGTGTGTGTGTATTTTAAGGAAATGAGTTTATTGTTCAACTGTTGTACGTAAAATATTAATTAATATCATTATTTCATAGTTTCTGAAATCTTAAATTAATACAAATTTTAAAAACGACAATCGATTGACACTTTTATTTATTATTGATTTCAGACTTCGGTCAACTTTGTAACAGTCCTGTATGGTGTGCTATTCTCTATTGTATTGAATTTAGTTTAGTATATTTGAATTAATTTTTTCTGAATGTTTTAATTAATTTTTTAATATGGACAAATGTCTTATAGATAACAGACGTGAAAAAAGCACAATCGGCAAATCGCAAACAATTTCAAATAAGTTTTTAAAAAAGCTGACAAAACTTGAACCAATCAATAAAAATAACGCACTATCATAGTAAAATAAAAATAACTTTAGTTACAGAGTTTTAGTTTGTACGTACAATTGTATTTATAAAATATCTGCTACTTTATACTTACAAATTATGTTGTTACCTAGTTAATAAAAAGGGTTGCATCGAATAACGATTATAGGAAAAAAAATATTTAAATTATGAAATATGTGAGGTAAATTGGTAAACTGAAAATATGACACTATTTTTTTAAATAGTGAAAACACTTATATGGAATCACATTTTAAATTAAAAATGTTTTGATTAAGTGTAATTTTTTTATCGATATCAAAATATTTTCCAAAATATACCAAGCACCTTCAATTTACATTTTGCATTTGGTGAAAAATTGAAGTATTTAAGGTTATTTATTATTATATTGCGAACGAAATGAGAAAATCGATTTTGCAAAAATTGAGTCTGAATACCTAAAAATTCAATTTTTCTTTAATTAATTTTCGTTATAAGAAGTACTAGAAATTGTAAATTTTTAACTCCCAGCTAAATTCATAATTCTAGATATATCAGAAAATATATTGAAGTTAAAATTTTTACTGCTCCAATTATAGGCAGTGGTGAAAAACACAAACTAAAAAACACATTATTGTAATATCAATGCATTCATCACTGAGCTCAGAATCCAAAGTATAGGGTAATCACTAAACATAATAATAATAATAATAATAATATGTAGTAAGATAAAAAAATACCTCTACTCTACAATTTACAAATCACAACTGACACAAAAACTGTGAAATATCTTTACATAATAATATAATATATTAATTATTAATAATTGTTGGATTCTCTGTATTTTTTTCGAAAATATTTTCTACAATAATAACCAAATTGACGGAGTATACTGGAGTTATTTTACCTATAGTTAAGTGATTGACAACTCATTGAAAATCACAGCAGCATATAGGCCGACTGCCGAGTTTTTCTTTTCATATGTGTGTAGTATTGTAATTATTTGTAACGCACTTACAATTATTTGATTAATGACTGCTACTCGCGCCGTTTGATTTCGAATGCAAGCGCCCCAACACACTGCCGTGGTCTATAATTTACATAACTACTGGCCGTCATTATGACATTCTTTTTTTATTTAATTTTTATGATTTTTCGTCGATTCTCTATAATAATATTATCCTGTTTCACGCGAGACGTATAAATATATATAAAGTTACTTCATTTTTATCTCACTACGCGTACGTTTTATTGTGTTTTAATTAAGCTGTCATGAGTAAAATAACAAGATGGTACAATAATCGTGTCGAGTTTAGATATTATAATAGTCGTCCAGGAGTTATTTTGATAATATATTATTATTATTATTATTATTATTATTATATATTATGTATTGCTATTTTCCTAGGTGCTGTGCTCGCAATCGCTGGCCCGTCGTACTCGTCGCCCAGCCCTCGGTTTCGCAGACACCGCCTTCGCGGCATTTAAGACAGGCCCGCACCGGTTTCGCTCCTGGGCTTCGTTCGCCAGGTATGACGATAGATTATAATATTATAGTAATACTGTTGTTGCATAATTAAATAATTGTCAACGCTATTGCACTATAGCGGATATAAAATAGCATAAATGTGACCTTCTGATTATTCCAAGAAAATATTATGCTCTTCGACGGCTGGTCTTAGATGAAAAAAAATATTCTTTGTGTATACCCGGTTTGTTTCACCAAATGGCAGCCAAATGGTATCTTATATTTAAATGGTAAATGTTTGGACACCTTTTCGTCTACGTATGTTTGAGTCTAAAACGATAATTTTTAAAAATGCGCTCATTTAAAAAATAATATGTCTACCCGTTGAAACACTTTAATTTTAAATGTTATTCAATATTCCTTTCTACAATTATACATTATTATGCTGTGTCGGCCTTATGAGTATACATTTCACTTTAGTTCGACGTATTTTCCCGTACCGTTGGGCAATAATATTAAAAGGGAATGTAAAGAATAATTATTATTAAAGGGTTACGCATAGGCAATTTTTTTGTTTGTATTCGTCGTAGGTATATGTGTTAGATATAATTGTGTAAATGATTATACAATATACTTATACCTGACAACAATTATTAAATACTCGTAAATGTACATTCAGCACACGTGACTGCTGTTTATGTGTAACCAAATATCATACATCAAAAGATGGCAAATTATTTTGTTCCAATCAACTGATCTGATTACATAGAACGTAAATGATAGAAAAAAAACCCTGAGAACACATTTGAATTCACTAATAACTAATAAGTTAACATGTACCTATATGTAATACGGTTGTATTTCTGCTGTTTATATATCTAATCCAATTATCCAAATACTCATTTAAGCCAACAACCCAAATAATTTTTCAAAAATCAATGCTAAATCAATAATATAATGAACATTTTGAACTTTTCATATGTTCTTCAAGCCATATTTATTGCGATTGGACATATTATATGATATTATATTTTATTAAATTGTTAGGTCTTATACAATATTATTGACGATTTTACGAAAATCAAAACTTACAATTATCAACCCATATATTTAATATTTGTCTGCGAAAAAAGTCAAATATATATGCTTCATTATTTAATTCGACAAAGTAATATAAAAAAAATCTATTTTGTTATTTATTTCAAAATTAAATATAATATTAGCATAATATAATTTAATTGTTTTAATGTATAGTACTCCTTATTGTGCATGATGAAATTTATATTTCTTAAATATACCAAAGTGTAAAGTTGTACACTTTTTAAAATAGAAAAAATGAACCATACAACATAAAAACTACAATATATTTTGAAAGTAAAAAACGTTACACCTTGACGAGTGTTTGAATGAAATTTTTTTTTTTATCGTATTACTTGAACAATGTACAATAATATATTTTTAACTAGGTATGTTTAGAAAATACTGCAATCTCCTAACATTTTTTTTTATTATTTTCGGTGTATTTACAACCCGCATTGTCTGTCACTGTCTATTTAAAACATCATAATAAAGAGGGTTCGTCAACGCTGCACTATTTTGCACGTATTATTTCGGCAACTGTGTATACGTCATACTCGTTTCGGCGTCGTTCAAACAGGTATAACATCTGTACACAAACATGAAACAATTTCTGTCCTATTTTCACTGTGACTTTTTTCAGGTCGCAGACAACCATACGCCTGAAGAGTGGCATTTCTCCATCCGTACCTGGATCTTGGGTCTCGCCTTACCGATTCTTCCTCTCGGCATAGTTCGTTCACTCCGGGTGTTGGTTCCCTTCTCGGCGGTGGCGACGACATTCATATTGGTCGGTTTGGGTTGTTCCATGGCTTGGGTGGTGCTTGGTGTCAGTCCATTTGCCAGCAAAGAAGCTGTGCTGGCAGCCGTACCACTACCCGATATGGCGTCTCGCCCCTGGGTAGGCACACTCGCGCATATGCCTCTGTTCTTCGCCACCGTTGTCTTTGCTATGGAGGGTATCGGCACCGTATGTATTATATTTCAGACAGTTTCAATTACTGTGCCAGCATCGCTCCAATAGAAATATTTGTCTGTGACTTAGGTTCTACCGATTGAGAACTCGATGCGTCATCCAGAACATTTCCTCCGGGCCCGCCCGTGTGGAGTGTTGAATGCTGCTATGACGCTGGTCGTATTTTTGTACTCGATGGCCGGCTTTCTTGGATACTTACGTTTTGGCAATACAACTGAAGGTTCGATCACACTCAATCTTCCCAATGATATGTACGTATTTTTAATATTGTGAATAGAAATCAGTACCTAATCACCAATTAATACTGCTGAGGATAGTCAGATTATTAGTGACAGTGGTATTAATAATTTGTAATTTCCTCGGTCACGTCAAACTATAGATTTGCTGAAACAGTTAAGATCATGGTCACACTATCGATACTCTTCTCATACGGCTTGCAGTTTTGTGTCCCCAGCGAGATAGTTTGGGCTCGCTTGAGGCCCTGGCTACGGAGACGCAAATGGGACGCCAAGTATTCCACTCCTACGACAGACAAAGACACTTCCACTGTAGCTGTGAGCACCATTGCCGGCAGCATAGTGACCATGACCACGGTCACATCAACAATGAATCATACTACAAATGACGAGAAGAAACAGGCTGATGTAGATGAACTGGATGAGCAAGAAGAGTTCGTGGAATGGGAGTACTATGCGATGCGGGCCTTAATGATCCTGGGAACTTGTACAGTACCATATTATAATATTGCTATAATGTCATTCTAGTGTATACTTACATTTATTTATTATATTTATTGCAGTTGGTATTGCTGCTATCGTACCCAACCTTGCCCCCATCATCTCTTTATTTGGGGCAGTGTTCTTCTCCATCCTAGGACTTATGTGCCCGGCTGTAATACATCTGGTTGCATTTTGGGAATATAACAACGAAAATGAAAATGGTGAAAATTACGAGGACTCAGATTCAGAAAACAATTTAAGATTTGACGGTGTCGATAACTATGCGATGTTTGACGACATGAGTATAGAATGTGGCGATAATACTCGGCGACAACAGCAAAGGAGAATGAGCAATGATGAATCGAGTACCAAAGAGAAGAGTATGAGCCGATTAACGGCCACCAAAGACGTGGCCATCGCTTTACTTGCTTTGTTTGCCATGGTTTCTGGGGCGTATGCGTCTTTGGTAGACATATTTCAATCTTACGGATCTAGTAGTGAAGGGCATGCTTTAAATTCTACCATAGAAATTATAACGACCACTATAGGCCCAGGGCCGGAGTCAGCTTATGTGTTGATAAAATAAATAAATGTATCAATATGCATAAACACCACCGCTGCATCGACCTATGCTTATTACACTATTCAAACACCTGGAGAGATGTTGTAAAGTCACCTCCATGCCACTAGATATATTATGTAAACAATATGAATGTTACCATAATTATTTATTTCACTATCATAGTCTTCGTATGTGTTTAATTTATTTTGGACACTATATATTATATAACATCATAATTATCTTTCCTAACGGTCTATTGTCATAATATAATTATAGTTGGTAGGTGTTGTTATTGACTGATACTATCTGTCTTATAGACCTATTTATTATTGTTTTAATTGAAAATTTGTTATTTTCTTCTTTTATTCGATCAACTGTCAAGTGTGCTTTTATACATGCCCGTTGACAATAAAAATTTTTTAAAATGTACTGCATAATTTCTTAGTAGGTACCTATTTATTATTGTCATTATTATTTCTAAATTATTATATTATACTACTATTTCACATTTTCACTGTTATATGTTACCAATTTTATAAGACATTCATTTTAAATATGTTTTGAATTTTATCAGTTGCTACTTGTAAAATAGTTGAAATCAATATACATACAATTTTTTTTATATAAAATGATGAAAATTCCAAATGATTATACCATTGGTATGAATTTATAATAAACCTAATTTATATGTATTTTTTGTTCGAAATACATAAATTGTTTTTTCAACATTTCATACTATTATTTATTTATGCAGTTTCATAGTAGGTACCTATTTTCTAAAGGTTGGTGTAAGAGTGTGTTCAAGCATAATATATATGTATATATGTATTTCCCAATCAAATAACTCCATCATATTTAAGGTATTTAAGAACCTGCCTAGCTAGTTATACTTATTTACTAGCGGTTTATCTCTGTACAAGCATAAGCCTACCATAGAGGTGTAACCCGTAAGTAGGTATCTATTTAAACTCGTTTGTGAAAAAAATTGCTCAATGTCCAGCATTTTTTTTCCAAAGCACATAAGTATATTATGTACGTTTTTTTGTTAAATTTCGTTTGATAATTATGTACACTCCCTGTTAACCTCAGTTTTTGAACACAATTTTTTTTTAAAAACGGCTAAAACCTCAGTTTTTATTTTTCAACTCCCTTACCTCAACCGAAACCAAAATCTTTCAAACCTACAGGCTACAGCACTTGGTCATTATTGGTATACAATAAATTAGAGTGTATATTATAGTCTAAGTACTTTACACGCCATAATAAAATAATGAAAAATCTATTAAAGTAATCATAAATGTTGAATGCGGTATAGGTACATTAAAAAAATCAACTAAGCCCGCCGTTGTGAATATCAATATTTTGGCGATATCAAGTCACGACGCCATTATTGTCATATTTTTCATATAGAATATTACTCTTTGCATCCTTTGTAGTTCTTACATAATATATAAGCATAACCATACAATTGTATTCTAACATTAGGTTGAGACATTAATACACCGATATACCTACTTTAGTGCAAGATTTAAATTTATTTTTAGAACGTATTAATAATTTGTTATAAAATTAAATAATAAGAAATAGGTAGGTGTACAATGTACATATTTAACTTGCGTATTGCAACTAAAAATTATAATAAAGTATATTAGTGTAATAAAATTATACAGAGGTAAGTACCATTGTTATATGTATAATTCATATCTAAATCGTATTGTGTAGAGCGTGGACGGTATACTGTAATAGAAGTATAATATTATACTTACGTATACGTCGTATAATTATTTAAATGTTTATCGTATTTTAATATTTATGGCTCACATTTATAATCACTCGTGTTTCTAAATAATGTTGAGTAGCGAAACTACTGTAGTGGTCTATTACAATCATATTATGCATTATAAAAGACAAAATATGGTAACGATTTTTAAGGCGTTCTATAATAGCAACTAACAAATACTATAAACAATGAACACTGAAGAACAAATAGAAGTTAATATTTTCATACTTAAAAAATACACAGGCGAGCCACCAATCGACCCATTTTAGTATAATTAATGACTGTTGCGTAATCAGTAATCACAAAATGTATTCATGAATATGTTTTAGATATTCATCGATTGTTACAGTTATAGTAACAGTTGTGGTGAAATAGAATTGTTGATTAGCTTATACAATTTACAATTTTGAGATTTTCTAATTTATTTTTAATTTGCATAATATAATATAATATAATATGATTGACGATGTATTAAATATTCAGGCATTTAATGTTCAAACTATATGTTAGATTAAATTATCAAAATAAAAAAGTAATTATTCGTAAAGAATTTTAATTTCTCCAAAATGCTGACTAAAATGCCCGAAAATGTTCAACTTAAATTGTTAAGTCAAATCAACATGTAAATTTAATTTATTCCTTGCTCAGCAGACTATAATAATAGATATACCTTTGTGTATTGTAAGTATACATTTTGCCAATTTTTAGGTTGTATTAAATGATTTTGTTTATTATTTTAAATGTCCATTGCAACTTTCTGCAGTGCGTAAAAATGTACCACTGCTGCCAAGTGCCTAAAATATGCGAAAAATAAGTCTATGATTCGCTAGTATGCATGTGTTCGATAATATTTTTAACGCACGTCGTCTTTCGTTTAGCCGTGACCTCGGAATACGGCGTAGCAGTGGTAAAGTGCGTGGTGGGAGGATCAGGAGAAATCCGGTTACTTCCACTACTACCTCTGCTAATATGTCAAAATGAAGACTTTTTGACGACAATTAATAAACTTGACTACTTGAGTCGTGGAGTTAGTGGTATTAATATTTAATTATTAGCGGTGGTCCAGGTACTCATGAAAAATACGATAAAATGTTCAAAGAACGCTGTAGGTATGACCAGGTGCTCACGAATATAGCGTCCCACTCTTGTCTTAAAATAAAGGTAGCATGAATTGCAATTCCCAAGTTGAATCATTAAACATTATTTTAGTAGTTTCCAATAATAAACTAATTAATTGTATAAATATATTTTAGATTTTGATGATGAATGTATTGATTTTACAATGTGTTTTTTTTTGGATGGATCGTCTACACCAGAGATGGCGAACCTATGACACGCACACTATTTTAGTTACACACACAAATATGTATGAGTTTGATAATATTAAAATTTTTGAAAAAAAATTGAAGGGTTATCGAATTAGTTGACATGCACGGAAAAATATTCAACCAAAATTTTTATTTGACACGCTGGTACAAAAAGGTTCACCATCCCTAGTCTACAAGGTAAGCAGTTGAAAAAACTGGATCGATTTCGAACTGCAGTATCTTTTCCGGTGAGAAAGTGAACATAGTTGATGCATTCGGGGGGTAAAAATTTAAAAATCCCAGTAGTTTTCATTAGCGCCCGGGAAAACAAACAAAAAAAAATTAAGGAAAAAAGGGAATTTTTAAACACAAAATCGGTTTTTGATCAAAAAATAGATTTTAGTGTTTCGGGTTTTCTAAAAAAAAATTACCATAGATATATGACATTTTTGCTGAATATTTATATTAGCAATTTATATACCTACATCATAACATTGTCATGTTGGGCTATTTATTTGCATTTTCGAATTTTATTGTTTTTTTAAGTTAATGTCGATTAAAAAACTTCGCCAAAAAACTTGAAAATGTAATACAAGGTTCTTCGTAAGTTGTTGAAAGTTTAGATAAAAAAAAAAATTATAATAATATAATTTATAATAATTTTTTTTGAGCGTCTGAAACTAGAATTTTTACCCAATTCATAAAAATGTTACTTTTTATTTGTAAGATTTAAAAACGTAATACAAATTAAATATTAGTTTTACCAAAAAATAATGCTCACCGAAAAATCAAATTAAATTTTTGTGAGCTTTTGAAGTTAAAAATTTTAGAACATTGGATATTTATTTGATTTTTCATATAGCTATATTTTCTTATTTTTTTTTAAATCAATAACGAATAACTATAGATCTTTGAAATGTACACCATGTTATCAATATTATTTTATCAATTCATATACTTGAAAAAATTTTTCAAAATATTTTGAGCTCTTTACGGACGTTTTCAATTTTCAATTTTTTTAAAATTTTTTTTTTTTTGTAAATATAATCATTCAAATTGTATTTACGTTGGATCAAAAAACGTAAAAATGTATACAAGTCTCCAGATATATTTTTACAGTAAAAATGGAAAAATATAATTTCGGCACAATTTTGTTTTAAAAGCATTTAAAGTTCAAATTTTGACAGAATTAATCAAATTGAAAATTTATAAATTATTTTTTATTTATAAATTGTTCTGCTTTTATAGCCAAGGATAGAAAATTTAAAACAGTAGGTACTGCACACAAAAAGTTAATTCAGAAAGCAAAACATTTAAAAAATATATAAACACAGTTTTTTTTGGTTATTTTATGATCAAATTTCGACGAAATTACATATTCAGTAACCAAGAATAATGAATTGAGTTATTTTGTTGTAAATTAAAAATATTTTTCGTGGGTACTTGAAACTTTTATAGTAGGTATATTATTATATTTTATGCATACAATGACTTTTCAAAAGTAATTTTTTGTGGCAAAAATGAATTGAATCTTCTGTAGTACAAATGCTTAATAGTAAAATAAATAAATAATTTTAATCATGATAATATTATCAAATATACTTAATTACTAAGTAATATTATAGTAATGTAGGTTGACAGATCGTCTTCATTCAGAATCTTTTTTCGTATACAATGATGATTTTATATCATTTAATTCAAATTTAACACTATCCACTTGTAACCTAATATACAACAAATAGCGACATCCACTTTGCTTCTTTTAGTTTTTTTTTTTCTATAATTTATGTCAACAAAATTTTATTTGTGGAGCTATTTATAGTTTTTTTTTAGTTTTTTAAGTTCAAATTTTTGATAACCAATTATAACGTTTCCAATAAATTTGTTGCGATCTAAAAATATTTTTTATGAGTACTTAAAGCTTTTAGAGTAGGTATAAAATTATATTTTATTCACACAATGATATTTTAAAATGTAATTTTTTCGTAAAATTATTTTAATCTTTTGTAGTACGATAATGCTTAAAAGTAAAATAAATTAATTTAATCACAATAATATCATAAAATATACCTATACTTAGTAATATTATAGGCTAACAGACTGTTTTCTATCCGAATCGTTTTTCATATACAATGATTTTTTATCATTGAATTCATATTTAACAAATCCATTCCAGTGGCTCTCTAGATACCCAATGTACAGGAAACCGTTTGCCCAATCACCCGCTTTTTTTAAATTTTTTAAGTCAATACCTACTTAGTATTACTAAATTACATATAATATGATCTTATAGGTTAATAATATTAAATAAAATATATAAACTTTTTAAATATAATTGTATAGTTTGTTATGGTTTGTATATTCAACTCGAATATTATTACGGACTACATAGACTCCCCAATCGATAATTAACTAAAGTATAATATGGTACCTTAAGGTGTTGTTTCCATCCGATAATCGTATTACATATAACATTTGTGATAAATGTAAGTTGCATCCCGATAAAAAGGTACCGATAACAACTTACGTAATTACTAATTAGCAGTCCGGTATTTCTGAGGTGCACATACGTAAGTTGCAACCTGTGTATCTTTCGTTTTTATTATCCGTAAATTGTGTCTGACAGAAAACGCGTAAAAATAACATATATAGTAATATATAATTTTTCCTTAGAAATTTCTGAAATTTTATATCTCTATGATGTATATTTTTTTTTTCAAAAACGAAAGAATTAGAAACTAAAAAAATATCTCAAATTGAATTTGTGGTTCAATTATTATTTGAATTGTTACATACTTCAATGTAGATAAATAAGTTAAAAGTTAAAAAAGGACTAAGTTGGAATATAAAAATTAAATAGGTAGGGCTTATAGTACCGATAACAATAAATAATTAATATAATATGAAGTATCCAACATTTATTATTATTATTATTATTTTTGTTTATTAAGTTAAAATAAAAAAGCATTAATAAAACAAACAATATCCTTAACTAGGTACAATACCAATATTATGACAGTAATATTGACAATCCATAGTCTGATGAAACGAGAAGGAAAATATTGGTTATAAATCGGTAACATACATTTTACTATCAAAAATACTCAATTTACATGTGCACAAAAAATACTCGAGCAGCAGCTTACATCGAAAAAAGTACAAGTACATTTGTGTTGATCTGAACCAATTGTACATGGTTAACTTCGGTATGTTACAGAGTGAATAAAAAATAAACCAGCTTATCAACACGCATAAAAATATACCTATTTACGCATTTGATAATAGGTCAATTTACTTTAACGTTAAAAGCAAATAACACAAAATTGGATAGGCTGTACAACAATTTGATATGTTTATTGTACTCTTGTACTTGTACAAGACTTTACGGTGACAACTGACAACACATAGTAGGTATATAACGTCATCTTACGTTGATATGATGAGGTTCGTCGAGCGCTAAATAATGATAATTTGTATACTGTAATTTTTTCGTGTGTTGGAGATACTTATACATCGACTTATCGTACAACGTCGTTGTCGAAATGTCACGAGAACGAACGAGATATTTAGTGAAAATTATAAATATATTGAATATCATGTATTAGTGCTTATGAAATTAATATTTTTGCAACAGAATTATTGCAATAATGACCATAATATGAAAACTTGATACAATTTTTAAAGTATTAAATGATTGAACTGTAGCTCATTCTATATTTACTATTCAAATGTTGTTAATTTCCATGGCGATTTTGAATTTAGTACTCTGGACCATGATCACGCACATTATACCCAGTAAAAAAACATAGGTAATACCATTGCAGCGTGCACCAGCACCATTGCCAACTATAATGCCAAATTGTGTTACTATTCGTAGTTTGTACAACAGCTATATGATTTATAAAACTATTATAATATAAGTGGACCTCAATTTTGTCAGGATAACTGCCAAATTGTCTACCTGCTTGGGTTTAAAAATCAATTTAAGTATTCTATTAGATATATATGATTTATATATAATATAATCTACCTTAATATATGTTATATTATTTGTTCTAGTTATGGTGTATACCAAATTTGTTATGCGCACTACTGTTGTTTTAAGTGCTCAGCCCTTCAAGTCTTATTGAATAAATATAAATAAATAAATTGTATGAATGTTTAATATTATCATAACAATTTAAATGCATTACATTAATACTTAGCGGAAAAATAAATGTTGTCACTAGCTGAAAAACAAATAATAATATGCAAACGTAGGAACCTTCATGAACACCTTTTTATTTACTATATTTCCAACGGGTACTTAAATGTATTGATGTTTAACTTTTTAACAAAACGATTTGTCAGTACAGGCGAATATTAATGCAAAATATATGTATAACACGTATATAGGGTGATTTTTTTAAGCATGCTCTCCTTTTGTATGCTAACTTTATGCTTATATTAAAATTCAGATTTCTGGAATTTTTAAATACACTTGAAGAACATTTTTCGAGTCATTGAAATTGACAGAATGATCCTGTGACAATAAGAACTTCAGTTTTTCAGATAGGAATCTCAATTTTTCATTTTTCATTATTAAGCGGATAATTTTTTTGAGAATTTTGATGTATCTAAATCAAAATTCAAGTTTGCAGTTTTTAAGTTATGTAACTTTGTGTGTTAATGATATCATGTAATGGTTAAGCAGACGGGGACCTTAGAGGGTTTGAAAAAGTTAGCAATTTCTAATGATTTAACAATATAAATAATTTGTAAAAATAATCTAAGTATAATAAATACTATGCATCTAACATGATATTTAGTTTTTATTTTTATGAAACCATTTTTAGAGATTATTATTTTAGTATATAATCATTTTAATAATTCAGAACTACTCATATGAATTTCGATTTAGATACATCACATTTTCAAAAAAATCATCCACTAAATAATTTTTAGTAAAATAGGTGGGTTCTCATTTGAAAAATAGAAGTTTGTATAGCCACAGGATACTCTTTAAGTAGTACAAAAAATATCAAGAATTTGAAAATATGGTCTTTAGATCTACTTAAAAATTCAAAAAATCAGAATTTAAATAATTGTACTCAGGCCCGGATTAACTCTACCGTAGGCCCTAGACCCATGTTATAATACGGTCCTGTAGTGTTCAGTATTTAAATGATTAAAAAACACAATGTTTGGGAGAGGTAGTGTTGAATCTCAGTGTTTTAAGCCTTCAAAAACAAAAATATTTACAACATGAAAATCAAATATCAACTTTTATAATTATAACTTTATCTGATGACAATTTTAACACATCTTAAAATACATTTTATTTTACTCAAAACATATTATTTAAAATTAAATTACCAGAAACCATAAAAAACAACTTATTTTATACCATCTTGCATTTTCTTCCTCGCCGACCGATCATGTCTCGCATGATCGCATGTAATTCTTATTCTTATTATTATTACACAATATATTGAATATTGATGAATGATGCGTGTGTGTGTGTGTGTCCGCGGTCGATAATTATTATTTATATTACATGAACGATATTATTTTTATATTATTTCCCTAAAATACTCTAAACCGTAATCGTGGTTTCATTCATCATACACAGTAGTTTACCCGTATACCGTATGCATTTTATCGGTTATTGGTTTTATCCAATCTGATTTCAATAAGTAATTATTACGAATTACGATAACGAACATTGAGTGTAAATATATGAGAAATGTTAAACACAATATTTTGTTTGTTGTGCCAACATCTACATTCTACAGATAGTTAATTGACTTAAAATAAAAAAAAATGATTACAGTAAAATCGTAGCCATACATTTCATTTTCGTAGGCCCTAAAATGTTCGTAGGCCCTAGGCACAGTGCCTATATAGTGTCTATGCCCTAATACGGCCCTGATTGTACTATTAAAGGGAAAAAGGGGCTAGAGCATGCTTAAAAAGTCATACTGTGCATTTATATTATTTATATTTTATAATTATTATATAGTTCATCATCAAATGGGGAAAATCGATAGTTGTATAGCCTGTAATACAATTATTGTTGTCGTATACACATTATATACTTGTAATGGCCAAATCAACTTTCTTAGCGGCGATGACCGATAAATTTGGCACGGGTGAAATACACAAAGATCGGTCGGCCGCGCGACGATTATATTATAGAGTATAAAATATTGCGAAGTAAAAAAACCCGATGAAAATTTGCAATATTAGCACTCGTTGCTGCTGCCTTCCGTCGCGAAACCGCGCGAATAGAAAGCGACGACATCGGCGGCAGCGAATAGTTTGCGACGGTGGCACGGCGCGGGTCGGGGGAAGAGCAGTTTCCTCAACCGCGCCGCCGCCTTCGGTTAAGAATGTTCCCCGCTCGCCTCAGCCCTCGCTACCACCACCTCTCACTTACAACCAATCGCCTACTAGTTACTATATACCTGTATATCGGTGCATGATATCCGCACCGTTGCCGTAGCACAAACATGCGATGTTCAGTAGAGCAATAGCAGTTTCACACGTACGCACTGAAACGACTGACTCTACGCATGTGCTACAGCCTCATTTCCTGTACCGTCTCAACAATCATCAGTCAAAACCATTGCTGCCACAGCGACCGTGTCTGGTGTAATTGTGTACATCGGTGAAAATATTGGGCCTAAACAGTTTACGTGACTACGCTACTTCTGTTGTACGATTCCAAGACATTTTTTGCGGCGGAAGCGTTCCAGAGACGACAGAGACGACTATCCACGTACGTATATACTTTATGATTTGTAATTATTATTGATTGCGCATTCGATTTATGTTTATGCATACAATATACCTATAGGACATGGGTACTCGAAAACGATACTTTTTGCCAAATCTATATATATATATAGTCTTATATTATTTAACCGTCATGTGTACATATTTTTATTATAATGTTCGGTATTTACGATACCTAAATTATCTAGGTATACCAATATACATAAACATAATATTATTTTACGTACTCGGAGGAGACTTGAACGCGCGCTCGTCACCTTCACGGGATTTTTTAAAATGATTTGTACATAAAAATCACACAGTTTTACCTCAGGCACCACCGATTTAAGTGTAATATAATAAATTGTCGACGGACACGTCATCTCCTTATACAGTCAGTCATCTCTCTTATTCTCCGCCGCCACCACGTGACTTCCTTAGACCCTGTCTATACCCTATATTACATATCTCACCAATGCACGTGCCCCGCACTTGACATCCTGCCACCACGCGTGTTTTATGTGATGGCTGTGTGCACTCCGTATAGTATATACATACACGCGGCACGCATTCGTGTGTGTTATTATAGGCACGCTGTATACACAGCTTCCGCACGCATACGCGCAAAATATGTTGCGGCGGCGTCTGCACACTCTCTCCTCGGCAGTCGTCGCCGCCGCCGTAATAATAAGTTATAAGTATAGCGCTGTCGTCGCTGCTGCAGAAAAGAGAGAGCAGCTCATGGCATCGGTGGCGGCGGCGAAATCTATGTCACTAAACCGCCGCCGCCGCCGCCGCCGCATTTCCCACACACACGCACGCGCAGCAGCTATATATCTGCACGTCGTCATGGACGAATAAAAGAAATTTGACGGCGGCATACCTGCAGCCCTCCTCCTCCTCATCGTCTTCATCCACCACCACTTCCTACTCTGGAGCAAACGAACGAACGACTAGGGCTACGACTAGTGTGCGACTGTGCGAGTGATCCATACATTTTATTATATATTATAAAATTATAAATTGGCTTTTCGCGCGAGCCCTCCTCGTGCGCAATATAATTATATTATATAATGTATATGTTCGTTAATTTGCTTTAATAATATTTAGAATTGTTTTTTTTCCTCTGCAGTTTTCGTGGTGGCGTTTTTGTCCGTGTTTGACAATTACGACAAACATCGCGCCCCCGCTATGATTCACAGCGGCGGCGGCGCCGATTGTTATACAGGCACGACGGCAACCACAACCAATGCTGGCAACCCAACGACCATGATGATGGCGAATATACAACAACAACAACTACCACAACAACAACAACAACAGCAGCAGCAACAACAACAGCAGCAACAGCAAACCGCTGCAGATGCCCCGACTGATTTCTGGTGGTGGTCGACAACCGCGGCCCAGCAACTCGCCGACGACGGTGGTGTGGTAGCCGGACACCAACACCAGCAAATTACGTCTTCGTCTTCCCAACAGCAACAGCACCACCAAACGATGGACGGAGACGAGTTTGACGGTTTCGACTTGTCGCTGCTCATAAACGGCGCCAGCGACGGATACTTCAGCGACGCCTCGTCGGCAGACTGTCGGGTGCCCGGGGCCGCCATTTCCGCGACGGTTACCGTGCACACCAACACGTCCGTGGACGGCGTCGGCGGCGATGGTAACTGTTACTACCCGACATCCGCGACGTCAACGTCACTGCAACAGCAACTGGACTTACAGCAACTTCTATCCATATACGATGACATGTGTTGTTTGAGCGGCGTCAACACTGAAGAAGACGCAAAATCAATTTTCCATCAACAGCCTCCGGTGGCCCCGCCCGTGGTGTCTACCACGACCGCCGGTGTCCATCAATCCAAAACCACCGAGCCGATAATCCCGGCCGGCCAGCTTGTCGACGCGACGACGGCGATGACCGACACCACCTCTGCCTCCAAGGACCGCGCCGGAAAGACCACTCTCTTGAGATCATTATTGACAGCCACAGCACCGCAGCCCTCGATACCGTTGTCGCCCACTCGCCCTGTTGATTCGCCGCCAATGGCCATAGTCGAATCCACCACCGAAGTGGCGACGACGACGACGACGACGACAATTAAGCACGAGGCCGTCTCGCAGAACACCCAGAGCAAAAGCAACAACAGCAACAACAACAACAAACACAGACTGCTAATCGAAATGTTACGCGGCGGAAACGCTGACGACGACGTCGTCCCGACGGCCAATACGGTGAAGCCCGCGCGCCGCAGACCACGTGCCGAGACTAGCTGTTCCGAAGACGAGAGCGGGCCGCCGCAAGGCAGCCGCCGCCGACTAGACGTGCCGCCGTCCCTGCAAATGGACGGTGGACAGGCGTCCCGACAAGACGTCGCCGACGACGACGAACTGCTGTTGTACGGCGGCCCCTATTATTCCGCCGCTACGTCACCGTCGTGGTTGGACCGTATGGTGGCGGCGGCCGCCGCTGCGACAACGGGCGCCAGCATTGCCGATTTTTATTCATACGCCACAGACACCGCCGCTGATCATCAGGCTCTGCAACAAGACCTCTACCGTCGGCGACAACAACATCAACAACAACAACAACAACAACAACAACAACAACAACAACAGCCGCAGAACGGCGACCATGCAGTGGACATCGTTAACATCGTGGACGACTGCTGCAGCGTTAGTGATTATTGCAACAGCTACGGCATCGGCGGCAGTGGCGGCTTCGACCAAGGCTACTACTCCGTTGCTTCTGCCGAAGTGGCGTACAGCCCACAGACTTCGGCTCCAGTGCCATCCGTCACGCCACCGCCATCTTCGTGTGGCGACCCATCGACGACGAGCACGGTAAATATAATATTTTACTATAACATAACGAATCACACAATTTATATTATAGATATTATTACAAATATTTTAAGTCTGGTGAGTGGTGGGATGTGTTTTCCACGATTTGTTGATCACTGCATCGTGATATCAGTATTTATATATGCTCTGAAATGATTAACTGAACAATACTCGAGAGTGACTTGAATTCCCATCGTAACGAAGTCCACATTGTTCCTTTATAGTGAAACTTCAATATTATACGAATCTAAACGGACAACAAAATACCTACATATAACATGTTATTCGTATTATCTAGAAATTCGTTGTGTAAATGGAATTCAATAAATTTGGTTCTGATTTTGTTAAGGTTCTAAAAAAAAAATTTCATTAAACGTAAGTTCGCGTTATTTGGAACTTTCGCTGTATTATTCCCGACCTCCCTCCACTCGCTGTGTGGTTAGGCTACTTCTGCAGTGTGACGCCCAAATGACCGCACCGAGGGTCGTTACCCCTCAACGATCTTATTATATTCGATTTTGATGTTGGGCTCATTCTAAGTTGCGATGTATTATATACTTAATGGAAGTGGTGAGGTGGGGAAGGGGCGTAACGTGCTCGCAGTTTTCGTTGTCTGCCAAGTACCTACACACGACAAAAGGAAAAAAAAACGAAACGAAAAAAATAGCTCGAACCTACGACTTGGACGACGACATGACGTAACTTTAATAATAAAATTATAATATCGTAGTCTCAGAGCTCAACAAGAAAATTAGGTGCGGCGATTGCGAGCCGAGGAAACGCCCAGGCGCGGCCCACATTCCATCGCCGCGGCGCGCGGAACAGGTTTTCGCGTGCGCCCGTCGTTGTAAAAAAAAATTACAAAAACTATTCCGTACGCCCGGAGCGGCTTTAATATGATTTCTATTTTATTACGCATCGCCATCCATGTAGAATATAATAATAATAATAATAATAATATAACCCTCTCCTCGCCGACCCAGCACCCCTCCACCACACCTACCGCTGACGGCTATTCCATTATATTATAATATACACGCCGCTGCGGTTGTTGCCATGTTAAATTATTATTATTATCATTACTATACACAATCAGGTGCGTGTTGCGGCGGCGACGTTATTATTATTACCATGATCATAATATAATATAATAATAATTACAATAATAATATTATATTGTACCTATATTATAATATTCGACTTGTCCGTTAACATGCGCGCCAAACTCCGCCGACGGCGCCCCGGGCCGCCTTGCGATTCGTGACGGGGAGGGAGGGCGTACGACGATGTGTACCGCGGGATCGACGTCAAAAAATAAAACAAAAGCCTCCACCCCCCCCCGGACGAAAAGTGCGTCGTGGTATCCCGCCGTATTATATATGCAATACGTACTGCACGAGCAGACTGATTTAGAACGGCGGATATATATACGACAGCTCGCGCGACGTCATTGTATAATATGATTAATTATTGTTTACATATAATATTTTAATGTTATATCGTATCTAAATAATACATAAAAATAAATGTATGTTTCTTTGTTCATCTGTCCTCCATATTTTGTTTGAAAACCATGCTGGACTGTTTGAAATAAAAGTTATATTATCAATATAATATAATTCCTCGGAGAGTGTTTAAAGGTTCTTTGTTCAACCTCTATATAAGTTTCTACACAGAGTGGATCACCCATGAATTTTTTCAATGTCTGATATAGTTTTTGCACATGACAATCGAATATTGTTTTTTATATTTAAACAGTTACCTATCATTGCATTATAATTAAGTATTAAAATAATATTTGAAGAAATATTGTATAATATGTTATAGAAAAGGTTACGAATACATTTTTTTTTAAACAAATGTTGGGATTCAATATTTTTATGAATATAATTCCAATGAATATTTGTATGATTTACTCTCTTAGTTCTATACATATTTTTTTATGTTCGGACATAAAGTCCAAAACCAATCTATCAATATTTGTTTTAAGTATTTGTTGAATCCGTCTCCAGCTATTTGTGTTTGAATTAAAATGTCCTAAATTTAGAAGTATAAAAAAACGATAAAAAGATAGATTAATATTAACCCGGAAGAAGTTTGGTCTCATATTTTAAATACAAAGCTTAAGATTTTAATAAAAATGTATGCAAAATAATATAATTGTCATATAATTATAAATTATAATACGAAAATACGATAGTGCCTTGTTTTTTTACATAAATGAATGTAATAGGAATTGGTACAAATATCGAATAATTGGTAACTATTAGGTCAATTGAAAATAAAATTTGGTTAGAAAAGTTGGATCCTATATTGCGCACTCTTACATTTTTATAGTTATTATAATACCTAACTGAGATCGTATGTACTACTTTAGAAAGTATGTTCGCATATTTCAACAATAACTAATAAGTGGTAATTGAGCGATTGCGCAATAATTGAAATAATACGAACATTAGTAAATGTATTCAAAGACTATTGCATATCTATGCATAATCTTGGCACTATATAAGAATATTTAAATTTTTCTTGAAATGTTTTCAAGATCAACATTTAACGTGTCGTATAGTTATAATTTATAGCTCGTGCGCGGTGTATGTACATATTATATTATTGTCTCGCTTTCCAGAATATTATTATCAAAATTACATTCATTTTATTTGAATAGTTAAATAAATTCAACCCATTCCATTTCGTATAATATGTTAATATATAATTAAATGGGTGTATTATGAAGATTTGTTCGATAAGATTGCTTTAGGAGGTAACAATGTTATAAATTATTGGCCAATTTTTATTCGCACATGTGTAGTCTATATTATATATTATAATGTGTACATAATATTTCGATTTATATAAATCACAATTTTTTTTCCCCCAAGTCCTTTCGTTCGCGGGGCATAATACTCCATGTTAAACTGTTGTATAAAATAATATAGTGATGCAGGAATAAAATAATAATATGTAAAAATAAAATGTCCGATTGTGGTCGACGATCTCTCCCCTCGCCCGTTTCATCTCACACCTGACCGGTGTATAGTTTGCCACGCGTGTCCGTTGCGCAATCACCACCGCGGCGTCTTATATAGGCACTCATACTACACTCGTCGGATAACCTTGTGCCGGGACACATAATAATATAATATATAGTAATGATAATAATATATTATATTATATATACACCTGTTTCTATATTTACATACACACACAATAATATGATATTATATACACGGCGACCGCGCCCGCCGACGCATTCGGAATTTGATCGTTTCGAAAGGAGCGCGCATGACGACGACGCTGCAGTGTCCGGTAGAAAGTAAAAAAAACATGCACACCCCGCGCCGCTCTTCCGCGATGTCCGAACTCGCCACTCTATATATACCCGAGGATTGTGTGTATATATATATATATATATATATATAAATGAATGATAATCACATAATAGTATCGTGTGCGTCAACGTTTTTGTAGATTTTGTTTTTCGTTTCGACGCACGTGGGGGGCCCGGTCATGTACCCGCTCGTACAATGCGGCGTGAGTAATAATAACTATACACGCAATATATATATATAAGGTCCGCTGCAGGAGAACACTCACGTGTACAAAAAAATATCTCAGCGAGCTTGCTAATGCGCTCGCGTGTATATTGTAGTGATGTTCGAAATCGAAATAAGAACTTCCGACGCAGATAGAAACAGAAAATTGAAAATATGGAAACATTTTTAGATTCTTAACTATTGCAACATCAGTTGCTGCAGTTTTACAATTTTTTTAGCACCACGAATCCAATGTAATAAAATACTATACGCATGATATTATGTTGGGTGCGAAATAGTTCAAATTTTAAACTGATAATAAGGACGGATTGACAATCACGATTTTTTAAAGGTGCCATAGAATATTATAGTAACAATGTCATGTACAATAGCCATGTTTGTTTATTTACAAGTGATTATGTGATAAACAGGTATCAAACAATAAGATGGTACATCGAAAATAAGATAATTATTCATCTATTCTAACACACTTCAAGTGCTATTATGACTCTAACTTTTATAATATTCGTATAGCTAATAATGTGTAGATTCTAGATACGATTATGTTATTGATCATGACTATAAAAAAATTGTAACTATTAATAGTTAATATGAAATAATGAGAACCTTTAAATTAAAGTAGTATTTAAATACCTATAATATTATGTGTAATCATAATTACATTCATGATGCGTAATCACAAAATTGAAAATCCATTCAAAAAATTATGTTTTTGATTATGATTCATAGTTAAGTTCACTGTATCAGTACACCTATATAGTATTCCTGGGTTTTAGACTTTTTTTTTAATATGACGTGTCTTACACTAGCATAATAATTACAACAATTATGTCCAAATCAAACAAATAACTATAAACACAGAAAAGCGCATTGTATTTAATATATATATATATTATATTATTTGTTTTATGAATTGGTTTTAAGATATTTCACGTAAAAAAACAGAATGTATAAAATTCAAATTTTTCTGTTTAAAATTATAAAAAGGAAACACTATTAGTTTTACAAACCGTAAACGATAAAAAGCTCAAAATTAAGAGCCTCGTTTATGAACGAACAATAGCAGTAGGTACCTTACCTATTACATTATTATTAATTATTATCATTTAATGTTATGCCATTGGGCATAAGCGTATTATAATACTATTATAGTCTACATACTATGCCCATGACTTTGCGTAAATAATACTAGCAATACAGTGCCAATTACATAGAACAATAATTGAATGACCGTGGGTATATTATAATAGTATCTATATTGGTATTAGGTATATTGTAATAATTTCAAAGAATTTAACGTCTCACAAGTCGTAGGCTGAGTATATGTTCGCAGTATTATGCTAACTGTGGCAGATCCCATTAGAAAAACACGGATCACCTCTACCCACACTATCTATAATTATTAACCGCGGTAATAAAATATAATACCAAATATAAATTCAAAATTGTAACAGATATCATAATACTTTATTGCATTCGTGACATTATATTCCACACTGCTAATGTTTTCGACATGTAAAAATAAATAAATTCGATTCTTGATTTTCTTACAAAAAGTTGACACACACAGGTGATTTGTCGTAAAATAATTTTGGTATAATCATATTACATATACATTTATTATTTGACAAATGTCGTTGTATTAATATTTTCGTAATAAAAGTTGTTTTTATTCTTGCAGTTAACGCCCTTTTATAATGGATTAGCATTGAGTAATGACTCATAAAAACATATTTCAATTGAATGCCTCTATATTATATATTCTTTGTTCATAAGAACTGTGGTAATAAACAGATTTTTTTTTGAAAAGTTGTTGAATATTATCATTTTTACGCCTGTTAAAAAAAAAATGAAAACCATAAGTAGACCTATTAAATATATGACTGAGAATCAAAACTGGTTTGGTTTATTTCGAGCCCAAAAACAGTTTCGATTTTTTTTGAGTTTCAAAGACGAAAACAGTTTCGTTTTTTCCAAGTTCCGAGTTCGTAAACAGTTTCAATTTTTTTTTCGGACTAACCGGTTTTTCGAATAGGTTTCAAACCTGTTTTGATCTGCCTAAGTATAGCAAGAGTTTTATTTTTATCAAATCCAAAATACGCACACCTATAGTCTACCCTCTCCACCACATGTACTCGTCATACCTCGCCTATATCCGTGTATTATACCAGTCTATTTCGTAAATAATACATAGGTATTTCATGGTGACGGCGCGGCATATCCACACGTCATCGCGTACACACGTCACCGAAGTTAATTAATTAACACATATAATTAATATTGTTATTATCACAACGTTTTAAAAGTCATTTTTAAATTTTGTAAACTTTCAGAGCGATGACGGTGATAATAATATGGTCCAACAAACTTGGAAGACGACTGAAGCAACGGCATCTGACGACTATTACGATAGGCTGCTGATGACCGTCATGATGGAAGCGGCGGCTGCGGCGGCCGAGGTTCAATCGCCGGCTGGCGATAGCAATTGCTCCGGCACAGCTGACAATGTGTGCAGCAACTACATCAGTAGCAGCAGCAACAGCAACAGTAGCACTTGTAGCACTACGTTCAAAAGCGCGACCGGTGATAGTGTCGACGTGAACGGCGACAATGACAGCAGCAACAACATGTGCTTCAAAATCGAAGTGGACGACGACGCGGCCATTACGACGGCCGCCGATGACGATGATGATGACGATGACTACGAGTCGGAAGTACCCGAAACGAAGTTTCAACCGAGTCAGCTCCTCGTCAAGACTACCGCGACGTGCTGTTCGACAACGGCGGCCGTGGTCGAGCCAGAAAAAAAGACATTGCCGGCCGTTACGACGGCCGTCACCCCTTCCGGTTCCACGTCGTCTTCGCAACACATCCACTTGTGGCAGTTCCTCAAGGAACTGTTGACAGCATCATCGGCAGCCGCGGAGCTGCAGGCGGCCACCGCGGACGGCGAAGCGGTTCAGTGTGGCGCGTCACCATCGTCACCGTCTGCATCGTCGACGACGCTCTCAAACGCCGCTGGAAACAAGCCACAGCAGCCGCAGCAGATGATTCGGTGGCTAGACCGGAAGCTTGGTGTTTTCAAAATCGAAGACAGCCAAGCCGTGGCCCGTCTTTGGGGCCGCCGCAAAAACCGGCCTGCCATGAACTACGACAAACTGTCCCGAAGCTTGCGACAATACTACAAAAAAGGTATCATGCGCAAGACGGAACGTTCGCAACGGCTCGTCTACCAGTTTTGTCATCCGTACAACGCTTGACGAAACTAGAACTTTATGATATAATCAAAAAAATGTAAACGTATTATTATTATTATGATCGGGTCTGTGTATCAATTGGAGTGACATATTTTATCAGCACATGACTTGTTCAGACATCGCTCAGAATCTTAAATCTTATCATTTTTCTATAATTTCATTAAATACTTTCGGGGGGCTCACACCCCCCTCCCTTTTTAAATTCAATCTTATGCTGGCAAGCATAAACAATCACCAAACATTTAACAAATCAATAATGAGCTAATGGTTCCTTAAACATGATTTATTGGCTCGTGATTAGTCCAATTTTCTATTGGACATTAATACATGTCTCATACAATCCGCCATTGGTATTGTAACACAGCCCTGATTCTAGTGTGATATATCAGACTATAATATGTAAGCATGGTGGTGGTAATTTTATTTTTTATTCTTTTATTTTTATTTATTCTTCGAGAAGATAATTGGCCCCCCTTAACATGTTTGTGTGGGGGGTCAGAACCTATTGGTAAGCTAATACTTGTTAGGTTAAAGTAGTGCTTGTACTTCGGCTGAACTATTGTAATCATAGTTCGGTGGAGGGAAAGCGCTCACACATACAATAACACACACGCCGTCTCGCGGTCGTCGCCTTCGGACGGGCGGGAGGCGGACGCGAAGCCGCTTAGGCGCGAGCGATGAACGCGGAAGGTAATTTTCGCGAGCGCAACTGTCACAACCTTTTTTAGGGTGACGGGGTTTTTTGGGGGGGGGAGGAGTATTGATTGTCGGCTGTTTCCGAAAATCCGGTTAGGTGACGATTTTGGTTTGTATGATCATTAATTATATTATATACCAGCGGTTCTCAACTTTTTTCGAGTTCGCGACCCCCTTTAATGTCACCAAGATGTACAACGACCCTTTTCCAATGTAAGCATTAAAAAATTGAACCAACTGTTATTACTGTATTTATTTGTTTATATATCTTACAAAAAAGGTATATTATGTACACTTCAATGAACGTTTTTATCGACTTTCGGACTATCCAAAAAAATATATATGTATTATAACACTTACTATTAATTATAAGATTCTAAGTGAAACAATTTTTTCCCATATGGATTGACGACCCTAAAATAATTGTTGGTGACCCCCAAAGGAGTCGTGACCCCCCGGTTGAGAATCGCTGTTACATACAACTAAATTGCACATACGGTTTTCGACGGTATCTACCTATAGTTGTAGTGCACGAGCAGGAGAGGAGGGAGAATAATGAGGCGCTTTAAGCGCGATTTTTTTTTTACTATTTTAAAACTACCCGACCGCTGAGGCCCTCTGCGGCCATGGTTGGATTTGGGTGGTTGTTATCGGTCCCATATATCCATGATATATTGTCTATTACGTACGTTCTGTGAACATGTTTTTTTAAAATATTGTAATTATAAAAATATATTTTTTTATTATACATAATAATTATTATGTGAATTCAATATTATATTAAAGTAAGATGTATATATCATACATTTATATTATAGAATTAATTATACTTAACATAGTATGGGGGGTGGTGATTACGGTGTCTATGCGGACTGTATTAATCCGCAGACGTAATACACGCCAATTGGTGCAGGTACACAATTATATACATTTTTTTTATTCATTTTTTTGAACCTTCGAATTGGCAATATGGCCATTAACATTTTGTGGGAGGGTTACTGTTGGTTTTGAGCAACACGCATGTGGAGCGAAAAATTTTCACTAAAAATCGACGATATTACGATATTAATATATCTTGCAATTTATTTCATTGTACACGTTTGATTTCAATTTATAATTTATACATATTTGTAACAATATTATTGATCGTACTCAAGGGCGTATTTAGGGAGGGGGTGATATGGATGTTGTAACACCCCCCCATCGGCCGTATTTTGTTATATTTCACCAAACTAAAAACACAGTGCAATTTGATCTACATAAATCCAATAAATAATACACCACCAATTTATTTTCATTGTATTGAATTTCATATTTTTTTAGTACCAGTAGTATAGTGTATTATTTATTTGATGTGATATAGAATATACAAGTTTTATGCAACTTGTAGATCTTAAACATACTGTTTTAAAATAAGGCACACGTGTCGTATACTATCTACCAAAAAAATTATATCTACAAAAATCTACGCATACGTGTCGTATGCTATCTACCAAATAAATCCTATATAAAAATCTATAAACTCAAGTTACTAACCTGCTCAATGCCTGTTGGTTCACAGTTGTCCTATTTTAAATAGCCCGTTTGTTAACAGTTGTTCATATTTTATTTTTTTTTTATTTTTTTACATCTTGTAAAAAACATTCAAAAACATTTTTTTGATTGACGGATCTCCACCATTCTTCTTGCAATTATCTTTCAAGGAGATTGGTCGCTCCACGAGCTCTGATTCCATACTTTACTTTCATGTGTTTCCATAAGCATTCAATAGTCTGTGTTTGAGCACCTGCACGTGGATCTATAAAGTTTTTGCTTTTTTTAACAGTTTGGTAAAGAAAACCATGTTCTTTAAGAGTACTGTAAGCTCTCCATTCATCTGATTAAATTGTGGTTTCAGATTCTATTTCTTCCACAATTATGGGAAGTAATGTTTCACGACCTCTTTTATCAACTATAAAATAACGGCGCTCCAAAATATTATCTTGACGTAAGCAGCACATACCAAACACCCAAGGCCCTTGAACGCGATTTCCGTTATTTCTATTTTGGTTTTCAATATTTTGATTTTCTTCGTCAGAACTTGAATCAGAATAGGATTTTGCATTATCATTAGGTCTATGATCTCCAAGCCGTATTCTGCCTCTATTGTACTTTCGTTTGCCTTGGAAAAGTGACCCGTCAATTTGTACGATGTATCCTTTACCTACCATTTTTCCTCGATGTTTAAACTGTTCGACGACAACGTCTTGACACAAATTATACCAATCTGACACTGTGTGATGTCCTCTACTAGTAATTTTTTCTGTTTGTATATTTTGAAATTGTTTTGCCGTTATTTCTATTTTGGTTTTCAATATTTTGATTTTCTTCGTCAGAACTTGAATCAGAATAGGATTTTGCATTATCATTAGGTCTATGATCTCCAAGCCGTATTCTGCCTCTATTGTACTTTCGTTTGCCTTGGAAAAGTGACCCGTCAATTTGTACGATGTATCCTTTACCTACCATTTTTCCTCGATGTTTAAACTGTTCGACGACAACGTCTTGACACAAATTATACCAATTTGACACTGTGTGATGTCCTCTACCAGTAATTTTTTCTGTTTGTATATTTTGAAATTGTTTTGCACAGCACCAAACAAGTTTCAATATTTCGCATAAACTTAATCCACTATTATTTTTTCCATTTTTGTCGGTGTAAGTGAAAAATGGATTTTCTTTACGAATGGATCGCCATGTTTGACAACCCTTTTTTTTACATCGTAAATATTTTGTTATAATAATATCTCCATTTACATCACGTTTTCGATTTTTTTTTAAAGTTTCATTCATTTCACCACCACATTCTTCTCCAATAGAATTTAATTTTGTACACAGTTTTGTATTCGGTAATAAATCACGATCTTTTAAAAATTGTATACAAGTTTCGTCATTAAAAATAATTTTTCTATATAATTCACCCAAAGTACTCATTTTATAAAACCATACATTTACAATTAATGAAAAACACACAACTACGACGTTTGATCTCGGCGATCAACGAATACATACTAAATTCTAAAATACAAAATAACTTTGAAATTCCTAAAGGAATTATAAATATATATATAATATATAGAAATACAATATCGATACGATTACGGTAGATAACGTAGATACGGTAGATAGCATACGACACGTGTGCCTAAAATAATAATTATAAATACATGGTCTTTGTTAATGTAGTACGGGAATGTGGGGGGTCCCCCACCTTCTATAAGTCTAATTAATTTTAAAACACCTCCGTAAAATGATTCCTGGATACGCCACTGATCGAACTAATTTAATTTTTGAAGATGTAATCATTGTACGCATAATAATATTATTAATATTGATTTATGTGTACACATATAATCCACTTAATCAATTTTAACTTTAAAGTGCTCGGCATATTTTTATTATACCTATTGTAAATAGTTTTTATGAGACACTACGAATGATGTATTATATAATTATTGTATATTATAATTGATAATAATAAATGCTCGCGTAGACATATATTTAATATTAAAACATAATATAATATGTATATGCATGTGTAATATATTTGTATGCGCCTTAAAATATTATATATACGTTAACGTTACCCTTTATTGACATATAATTAGTCCAAGTAATATTAATGTTATTTCTTATTAGTTATGAATTATTTAATGTATAGGTACATATACCTACCTAATAAATATTGTACACATCAAAAATATAAAATGATGAAGTATCGTCAACAACGCGGTTACGGGTTATTATTACATATCTATATATAAGTATTATATACACTATTCAATAACGATTATGTAATTAATAATAATTTGTATATAGGTGGTATGATTATGTTAGTGGAGTTAGTTCATTTTTATGTTATTTTCAAATTTTAAATAATATATTATTTAAGAAGGGTTTTTAACAATATTTTAAAAATGTATTTTGTGATTGATTGTAATCATTATATAATAACTGTATATATATATATATATATTATGTATATTATATTATTATTACTTTGTTTTTATACATTTTTTTATAAATGTTTCAGACATATTATACACTTTTATAAAAATTATAGTATTTTTAATTTTTTTTATAATATATTCCTTTTTTAACATTGATTCCAGCTAAATCGATTCCGCTACTATAATTGACTAACTGTCGATTCTGCCAATTTGAAATCATAAGTAACTCGAGGTTGAGCCTCGCGTTATTGCGTTAATGTTTTCATACCGAACAAATTGCCAACTAGCGCAATTATACCAGGATTTATTAAAATATTATGAACATAAAGCCAAAAAAGCTATGTAACCGTTTACATTTAATTAGTTAAGCTAAATTCATTTTACATGTGAAAACGGTTCATATATGATGTTGATAGTATATGTTTAAATTGTGACGGTTGTGCAGGATACTGGAAAATATAATAATGTACAACTGAAATTGCTGAAATATTGTATTTACCATTTGGTACTCGACTAAAATGTCACTAAAATAATTAATATATGTACATATATAAATAACAACATTATAAGTATCCAGCACCTATATCTTACAATTTAGAAAAACAAGATGTAATGTATAAGGTATAACTTATTAAAAATGAATAAACGAAGAATCGAAAGGTATCAAATATTGGCATGCTTATACATTTCGTATTAATACAAATTATTATTTTTAGAACTGTCTTAATAGAAGTAAGTTAAAAAAAAATAAAATCACAAGACAATTTTCTTAAATATTTTTTACAAAATTTAAGCCTTAAGAACTACAAACGACTGAACACAACCTTTGTTATCTTCCTTTTCTCTACTCAAATATTATTATTTGCAAAAAATTCTAATTTCATTTTTAAATAAAATATTATTATATATTAAATATGGATTTAAAATTCCAATACATAAGACATAAAATAAATGTTAATCAGTATTTATGTGATCTCTTAAAGGTTTTATTTAAAAAAGTTACTGCACAATTTCAACCATATTGGAGTTCACAATAAATAAATAAACATAATATTATCTGTATACCTAATCCAAATAATGTTACATTTTGCACTTCTACAGGCATTCAGATGCAAACTATAAAAAACAATTCGTATAATAACCTATACTAATATCAGCACAATAATATAATAGATATAGAATCCGATTATTCCAAGACGTCCATCTTATACTTGTTAGGTTTATAATATATGCATACTATATAGGAGTACTAAATATATTATACTATTATAGCATAAAAAGTGAATACAAAAAAGATCGGCTTGAAAAAAATTCATAATTTTAAACCCACACAAAAGATTATATTCATTTCAGTGTATAAGTCTTGATGTTATGATGTCTATGTTATGTCTATGTAAGAACTAATAAGTCGTAAAATGATACTTGTAGGACGTAGGTAAGTATTATAAGTTATAATAGGTTTTAGGAAACATTTACACAGTGTATTTCAAATTTTTAACAATTTACTATGTATCATGAACAAAATATTGGTAAAATAAATACACTTACTTGGGTAATAAAATTATCATGGAGATAATTTTTAAAAAATGGGGAAAGTATTAAGTAGGTAACCGTACACGCAGTTGTACAGTAGGTAGGAGTTAAGTGTACCTTGTCATTGAAAAGTAAGCCACTGCAGTGTGCCGACATGTTAAATTTGAATACAATATTAATCTTGCTTACGAAAAACAATTCTATACGAAGGCGATTTGCTAGCCTACATATACATTATTAAGTAAGTACATTTTAATATTTTATGATTGGTAATAGGTATAGGTGGGTAATTATATTGCTATCATAGAATTGTATTTTACTATTAACTACTAATACAGAAAGTTGAATTAATTAATAATTACTGACAAAAATATTGAGTTTATTATATAATTAATAATATATAGTTATCAGTTTATTATATAGTATATAATGATTATTTATATCGTGCGTATTATTGTTATTAACTTTTGAGGAATATCGACTCACCGTAAAATCGGGTGAATAGGCAATATCATAAAAAACTTAGAAAATGTCACCATATGTATATAAAATATAATACTCATGTAGGTACGTAAGAGTTTCTAATTCATACCTATAAATAATTTATTTGAATAATTATGACGTATTAAGTAGTTCTTCTTTGTTTGAACATCTAATTTCGTCAGAATTTAAACATCAAATTTTTGTCTTATGACAAATCTAATTTTGACTTATGAGCAATCTTATATACATTTTCAAGAATTTTGACCGAGTTAACATTTTCTATCGACATTTATAGAAAAAAACCAAACATTTAAAATTTCAATCATAATATAAAATATTTTAAAAATAATTATACCACGGATAGAAAATGTTAATATAAACGTTTGGTGATCACAAAATAAGATCAATTTTCTGGATTCGGGTAAAAATTGCGTTTTTTCTCTATTTTTGTTACTGATTATTTGCTGATTCGAAAAGTACTTGAAATTTTTAATTTTTACATTCAAAAGTTCCAAATAGATCACATTTAGTATCACAAACCACATTTAAAGTTCTTTGTTCTTAAAATATGTGTTCACATAGGGACACAAAAAAATAAATAAAATAACGCTCCTCTCAGAATCTGAAATCTGTAAACATTGGTTTATATTATATAATTTATTTGGATTTGGATATAATCATATATTCATGTATAATATATTAATAAAAATTACATTTATTTAAAGTATTTGAAATACTTTGAGAAATACCTATAACCTATTCAAGTAATTTAAATATATACCTACTTTAAGTTCTAAAAAGTTTTTTTGTCCCAAAATTCTTTATTATGCCATATGTTTTAATTAGAAGTTAGAACAATAATAAGCTGAAGTGATAAAGTAACAAATAACAACATAGAAAGGGCCTTCCACCGAAAGTAATTCAATGTGAATATCAATTAATAAAATAACGATAATAATACATAAATAGTAATCATAAAGTAATAATAATAATCTATGCTAGCTGAAAATGATATACATTTTTTTAAGCCACTGTCTTTTTTGGAATTTTCTGGAATAGTAGCAATGATAGTTGAGTGATAAAGGTGGTGAATTAGTTTGCTATTGAATCGCTTATAGTAGAGTTTTACTAGAAGAGTAATACTGTGACAGTGTGTATTTTGAAGGCATAGGGAAGGGTCAAGGATATTATTGGAAACAAGTTTTTTTTGACTACATGTATTTTGGTTATTTGGTTCTTACTAAAATTCAAAAGCATGATATAGTTTCATATTCAGTAAGTATATATTTTTTCTCTTTTTTGCTAATGTATACACCTGACCAATGTTGGCCTGGCACCTAAAGGGCCCCGGATGCATTTCTTCAGAAGGGCCCCAAAAATGGTTTTTCATAAACATTTTAAAATGTACTTATTAGTAGTGTAGAATATTAAACATTTTTTTAATTTGCCATATTTAAAATAAACCAGCAATTAAGTTTAGAATTAAATTAGATTAATAGTTTTTATTCCAAAAAATTATATACATAATATAAATAATATCTTATCTTGTAAGAGGGCTTCGATTTTCTTAAACAGCAACTTTTCTAGTAAGAATGTGAATCTAATTGGTGCATTCGGGAGATAAAAATTCTCAATAGTTTTCAAAAAGCAGCAGAAAAAAAACAAAAAATGAAAGAAAAACCAGAATTTTACACAAAACCATTTTTCAAAATAATCAATTTTGGTTTGTAATTGTAGTTTAACTCTAACAAAAATAACAGTAAATGGTAAATACATGAAATTTTCAATGAATATTTATGTAAGCATTTTCTATACACCATAACATTTTCAAAATATTTTGATTCGCGTAGGACTATTTAAAGGCACATGAAATTTTTGATTATTATTTGTTTTTTTTTAAACCTAAGTCGATAAAAAAATTATCGCTCGGTCAAACAACTTGAAAACGTAATACAAGGTCCCTTTTAAGTTTTTGTTAATGGAAATTTAATAAAAAGTTGGGCGTAAATCTACAATACATTTTTATGAGCGTTTAAACTTAGAATATTGACAAAATTCGTGAAAATCACTAAAATTAGAATATTCAAAAAAAATATTTCTTTTTTGTATTCTAAGACTAACTGATCCCATGCACTTCGTTTCCCGTTGAAAATTCTAAATCTATATATATGACACTCGCTTGTTATAACGCGAGCAGTATATTATCAAGAAGGATATATTATATTATACTAGCTGATCCCGTGTACTTCGTTGCCCGTTAAAAAAGCCAACGATTATATAGTGAATTAGTGACACTTACTGGTGTTAGTGCCCACTCTATACAAAAAATATATTTCTCTTTTATTTATTTGTTTAATTAATTTTTTTACCTAACCTGACTTTGATAGTGGACATGTCGAGCTGATGATGGGC